ACAGTCCACGTTTCACAGGTGTACAGCAGGGTTGGGAGGGGAATAGCTTTATAGACAAGCACCTTGGTTTCCCTACGGATGTCCCGGTCCTCAAACACTCTCTGCTTCATTCGGAAAAATGCTGCACTCGCAGGGGTTATATATTCAGTAATAGAATAGGAGAAACTGCTCCCCACAAAAACCTGCACAGTTCAACATTTTTGCAATGTCAAACCTGAGATAGGGAAGTGGCGAGATTGCAGGAAATAATTTGCCTATTGTATATTTCGTGATATTAATTTAATGAAAGCACCTTCACTTTTCACATGCATATAAGAAACCTTAAGTCTGCCTGTGTCAATCCCTTGAGTTTGTGGCCAGAAGGACTCTTCCTTATTTCCGCCCGTCTGCTGCTTAAGAGGCACTGCACGCCCATCCGGGACCCCCGCGGCTTTCCTTCTGATTAGCGCCATTAATGAGAACAGAGAGCATTCTGTTCACAACTCCATTCTAATCAGAGAAATCAGGGGTTTTTCACCGTTCACGTGCCTTGTATGTAAATACCGACTCCGAGGGTGGCAAAAATAGCCTCTTGATTCTGAACTCTGCTCATGAATCCTTTTATGACCGATGCCGGGGTTGCGCGGCTCATGGTTCCACATTCAGGACCAATGGTGAAGATGTGAGCCAAATGGAAGGGATTCCCCCAGAAAGAGAATTTGTCACTTAATGGATTTTACATAATTCTTTGTTACAGTTCAACATGTGCGGTAATGAGATAAATTAATTGAGGAACGTGATATTGAACTCAGTTGGTCATCCGAGGCCACAATTGAAGGACAGACATTCGTTTGAGCTTTAGTCAGGTTGTTGCATGCAAAGTGTCCGGATGCAAAACAAGATGCGTCGTCTGCATCTGTGATAAGTGAGCAGAATAAGGAAATACAGGTCCAGCAGGTCATGCAAGTTACTCCAGCTGCTCTCTTTTCAATGGGGAAGAAATCCTCTCTCTTTTTTTGCATTTGGCTTCAATAGATGAACAAAATTGGGATTTCTAGTTTGTTGTTGTTGTTTGTTTGCTCAAGGAGATTCCACCAGAAAATGAGGAAGAACTTCCTGACTGTGAGAGCTGTTCAGCAGTGGAACTCTCTGCCCCGGAGGGAGTGTGGTGGAGGCACCTTCTTTGGAAGCTTTTAAACAGAGGCTGGATGGCGATCTGTCAGGGTGCTTTGAATGCAATTTTCCTGCTTTTTGGCAGAATGGGGTTGGACTGGATGGCCCATCAGGTCCCTTCCAACTCTAGGATTCTATGTTCAGTAGTGGAACTCTCTGCCCCAGAGTGTGGTGGAGGCTCCTTCTTTGGAAGCTTTTAAACAGAGGCTGGATGGCCATCTGTTGGGGGTGCTTTAAATGCAATATTCTTGCTTCTTGGCAGAATGGGGTTGAACTGGAGGTCTCTTCCAACTCTAGGATTTTATGATTCTAAGAATTTACTACTGTGAGAGCTGTTCAGCAGTGGAACTCTCTGTCCCGGAGTGTGGTGGAGGCTCCTTCTTTGGAGGCTTTGAAGCAGAGGCTGGATGGCCATCTGTCGGGAATGCTTTGAATGCAATTTTCCTGCTTCTTGGCAGAATGGGGTTGGACTGGATGGTCTCTAGGATTCTATCTTCTCTAAGCTTTCCTGTCTTCTCATTCTGTGGCCAAAGGACTTCATCTTTGCCTCTCATCTCCTTCCCTCCAGTGAGTAGCCAGACATTTCCTGGAGGATGGACTGGTTGGATCTTCATGTGGTCCAAGGCACTCTCAGAATTTTTCCTCCCAACACCACAGTCCAAGAGTGTCCCTCTTCCTTTGTTCAGCCTTCCTTATGGTTCAGCTCTTGCATCCATAGGTTTGTTGTTGTTTATTCATTCAGTCGCTTCCGACTCTTGTTGCCCTCCTGGACCATCTCACGCCAGAGCTCCCCGTCAGCCGTGGCCACCCCCAGCTCCTTCAGAGTCAAGCCAGTCACTTCAAGGATGCCATCCTTCCATCTTGCCCTTGGTTGGCCCCTCTTCCTTTTTCCTTCCCTTTTCCCCAGCATCGTCTTCTCCAAGCTTTCCTTTCTTCTCATGATGTGGCCAAAGGACTTCATCTCGGCCTCTACTATTCTTCCCTCCAATGAGCAGTCAGGCTTTATTTCTTGAAGTATGGACTAGTTGGATCTTCTCACGGTCTAAGGCCCTCTCTTAACTTTCCTCCAACACCACAGTTCAAAAGTGTCTATGTTCCTTCGCTCAGCCTTCCTTATGGTCCAGCTCTCACATCCTTAGGTGACTAGGGGGAAGACCATTGCTTTGACTATGTGGATCTTCGTTGCCAATGTGATGTCTCTACTCTTCACTATTTTATCGAGATTGGTCCTTGTTCTCTTCCCTTTCCTAGCTGCAGAAATAGAACCTAGAAATACAATCCCTGTCTCTGCCTCCACGTTTTCTCTCTCTATTTGCCAGTTCTCAATCAGTCTGGTTGCCATCACCTTGGATTTTTTGATGTGTAACTGCAACCCAGCTTTTGCCCTTTCTTCTCATGCCTGTTCTTAAATCATATGACCAGCTACCAACTCTGAGAGTAAACGTGGTACTTCTTCAGCATCATCCAAGTGATCATCCATCCAATAGTGAAAGGACCAAGGCAGAGACATCACCAACACATCCCTTGTTTGGGTATCGGCCAGCACATCAATGACTTAAATCAAGAAATAGTTTTCTAAGATCTACAGAGACACTTGCTGGAACACTTCAGCAAGCGAGAGTCCAAAAGTGGCAGGCTCAAACCCAGAACCTCAACCAATGGCTGATACCAAATGAGAGGCACTCCAAGTGGCCAGATACTGGTCAAAGGACATTTAATCAACTACCAAGCTTGCAAACTCTGTTTTGTCTGTTTGTTAAAAAATTGTTACAAATGTAATACAATTGTCTGGCTTGACACTGACACGATAAATGAATAAATCCATGTGCTCTGAAGAAGCAATCATATGTGTATTTCAGACTGCCATGTCTGCATCCTCCTAAGTCCCTTCTCGACCCTTCTTCTCAAATGAAACATTCCACTTAGGATATTATTTTGAAAGAGATTATTTTGCTTTATTCCGCAGAAGGAAATCAAAGTCCCCAAAGCGCAAGGGTGGAGAAGAGTGGGAGTTCAGAACGGCACCCTCCCTTCTCCTCGCTGAATTAGTCTAATTCCTGCTTAGTAGAGACTTGCAGGAGGATTTTCCCCAACACCATCTGCTGCCCATTCACATTTGCTTGGCCCTGGGATGGAGCGCATATTGATCCAGCCACCCAGAATTGGCGTTTTTAAGGTTTCAAATGCACAGATGCGTTTGGGAGTGAGATAAAATGCATTAAACCAAGTATATGCCTCAAGGGGAGCCAGAATGGGGCTGTGGTTGGAGCACGATTCTCAAGAACAGGTTCCACTTGGCTATGGAAACTCACTTAGTGAGAAGCAATGGAAACTCTCTTCTGGACAAATTTTGCAATGAAAATCCCAAGGTTTCCTTGAGAAAACCCTCAAGGTTTCCATAAGTCAGAAAAGTAATGATTGCACAGGTGACCACTAATGTTTCTCCAAGTGGTCACCTGTGAAACTCGCACATATGGTATTTTCTACGCAGGCAGGGCGCCTCAACCCATTACGCAAAGTAAGCATTTGCAGTATAGTTGATTTTGCCCAGGGGTGCTCTGGAGACGCTCTTGGGGGAAAATAGACCTTGACATATGCGAGTTGAAGTTACTGGGATGTATAGTTCACCTATGATCAAAGAGCATTCTGAACTCCACCAGTGATGGAATTGAACCAAATATGGCACACAGAACTCCCCCGACGAACAGAAAAAATATATATAAGTGATTGGTTGGTGGGGGGAGGCGGCGCCAAAATAGTGTTTGCTTACCGTTGAAAATTACTTAGGGTCGCCTCTGGGCGCAGGCAATACCATATGTGCACTTTCACAGGGACCGCGATGGAGAAGTTAACTTCTCTGAAGACAGGGTTTCTCAACCTTCCAAATGCCATGACCCCTTAATTCAGTTCCTCAAGCTGTGGTGACCCTCAACCATAAAATTATTTTTGTTACTATTTCATAACTTTAATTTTGCTACTATTATGAATCATAATCTAAATATCTGATATGCAGAATGTATTTTCATTCACTGCACCAAATTTGGCACAAATACCCCTGGGATTTATAGTTACTGGAAGGATTTGGTGGGCATTGACCTTGAGTTTTGGAGTTGTAGTTCACCTACATTCAGAGAGCACTGTGCACTCAAACAATGATAGTTCACCTACAATCAGAGCATTCTGAACTCCACCAACGAAGGAACTGAACCAAACTTGGCACACAGAAAATACTGGAAGGGTTTGTTGGGCATTGACCTTGAATTTGGGAGTCGTAGTTCACCTACATCCAGAAAATACTGTGGACTCAAACTTGGCACAAATACTCAATGTGCCCAAATTTGAACACTGGTGGAGCTTGGAGGAAATAGACATTGACATTTGGGAGTTGTAGTTGCTGGGATTTATAGTTCACCTACAATCTAAAAGCATTCTGATCCCCTCCAATGATAGAATTGGGCCAAACTTCCCACACAGAACTCTCATGACCAACAGAAAATACTGTGTTTTCTTTTGGCACCCCCTGGCGACCCCCTTAGGGCTCCCGACCCCCAGGTTGAGAAACACAGCTCTAGAGCAAGGTTTCTTAGGCCTGTTCTACACTGCCCTATAATCCAGATTATCAAAGCAGAAAATCCACATTATCTGCTTGGAACTGGATTATTTGAAAAGGAAAGGGCCTGACGCTGCTAGGAGTTGAAGTCCAAAACACCTGGAGGTCCAAAGTTTGCCTTTGTCATACACAGGAGAGGCAATAACAAAATGAGATAAAGGAAGAACTGATCAGAGGAAGAATACATACTGATCTCGGTTAAGAAAGCAACCAATTCATGCAAACCTTTGCATTGCAGGTGTGTTGAAAATTACACAGGAGCTCGGTGTGGGGAAATTTTACTTGCTAGCATCAAGAGCCATTCGAGAGGCGAACTGTTTGCGGCTGTTTTGGCTTCGGTGGTCGTTCTGAGCGTCTTGGTGGCTGGAGCCTTCTTCTTTCTTTACAGGTAAAACCGAACCCCCCTCCTCCATCTTCTATTCTAATTTTTTGTATATGCATTTAACTGCAATAGGGTATCTGTAATATATGAAAAGAACGCTTGTCTGTTAGAGGCAAGTGCGAATATTGCAATTGATCCCCTTGATTAGCATTGAATAGCCTTACAGTTTCAAGGCTTGGCTGCTTCCTGCTACAAGGCTATTCAATGCTAATCAAAGCAATAAATTGCAACATTCACACTTGCCTGAAACGTCCCACAGATATAGAAACCCCACTTGCCTACTTTCCAACAGACATCACAATGTCTGAGGATGCCTGCCATAGATGTGGGCGAAATGTCAGGAGAGAATACTTCCGGAGCATGGCCACAGAGCCCGGAAAATTCACAGCAACCAAGACAGGAGTCTTTCTCCCACCCTGGGCATTCCACATATCTATTAAATCCCACTTGCCTAGTTTCCAACAGACGTCACAACCTCTGAGGATGCCTGCCATAGATGTGGGTGAAACGTCAGGAGGGAATGCTTCTGGAGCATGGCCACACAGCCCGGAAAATTCACAGCAACCCAGACAGAAGTCTTTCTCCCACCCTGGACATTCCACAGATCTATAAACCCCACTTGCCTAGTTTCCAACAGACGTCACAACCTCTGAGGACGCCTGCCATAGATGTGGGCGAAACGTCAGGAGAGAATGCTTCTGGAGCATGGCCACACAGCCCGGAAAATTCACAGCAACCCAGACAGGAGTCTTTCTCCCACCCTGGACATTCCACAGATCTATAAACCCCACTTGCCTAGTTTCCAACAGACATCACAACCTCTGAGGATGCCTGCCATAGATGTGGGTGAAATGTCAGGAGAGAATGCTTCTGGAGCATGGCCACAGAGCCCAGAAAATTCACAGCAACCCAGACAGGAGTCTTTTTCCCACCCTGGACATTCCACAGATCTATAAACCCCACTTGCCTAGTTTCCAACAGACGTCACAACCTCTGAGGATGCCTGCCATAGATGTGGGCGAGCCACAAAGATAGGTGGACATAAGGACGACGACTATTGTAGGATTGAGGTTCATGATCACGCTGTGATGGCTGCATTCTTATTCTAGACACCAACTTGCATTGAGCAGATGGGAAAAACTATTAGCGTAAAGCTTTGGACTCCCAGTTTGATAATTCAAGTGACCTTCTTTGCAAGGTGCACTGCACAGAATTATCTGCTAAAGCCTCAGTAAACCAACACAAAGCTCCGTTTCAGGTGAACAAGTGATTTAAGGCACTTTGGTTCATGCAAGAAATAATTTCACGGGACTGAACAGACTCAGAAGTGGAGTGGGCAGGTTGAAAGACAACCTGGCAAAATGGCACTACGAAGGGCGTCCGTTAAAGACTTCCCCTGATCCACTTCCTATGGACTGAGAGCAATGAAATTTGGCCCAGTTCTGAGTCTTCGGGACCTCTGGACACACACTTCCCCCATCTTTCTAAACAAGTGTAAACATCTCGCTTGTAGAAGACGAGACGTTGCTCCAAAAGCCACGTTGTGATGTCGGAAATCATAGAATCCTAGAGTTGGAAGAGACCTCATGGGCCATCTAGTCCAATCCCATTCTGCCAAGAAGTAGGAATACTACATTCAAAGCACACTGACAGATGGCCATCCAGCCTCTTTTTAAAAGCTTCCAAAGAAGAAGCCTCCACCACACACTGCAGGGCAGAGAGTTCCACTGCTGAACTGCTCCCACAGTCAGGAAGTTCTTCCTCATCTCCTTTCTTGTAGTTTGAAGCCATTGTTCCATTGCGTCCTAGTCTCCAGGGAAGCAGAAAACAAGCTTGCTCCCTCCTCCCTGTGGCTTCCTCTCACATATTTATACATGGCTATCATATCTCCTCTCCGCCTTCTCTTCTTCAGGCTAAACATGCCCAGCTCCTTAAGCTGCTCCTCATAGGGCTTGTTCTCCAGATCATTTTAGTCGCCCTCCTCTGGACAAATTCCACCTTGTCAATCAGAGTCTCATCACCTGAGAGTCTCATCCGCCCTTCAAAAATAACATCATTGTTGGAAAGAGGTGGAAGTCCGATGGTGTGAAGTCGGGGGAATCAGGGGGGTGTGGTAGGATTTCAAAGCCACCGGAACATGCTTTTTCCATGTGTGCAACATATAAGCATAGAATCAAAGAGTTGGAAGAGACCTCATGGGCCATCCAGTACAACCTCCTGCCAAGAAGCAGGAATATTGCATTCAAATCACCCCTGACAGATGGCCACCCAGCCTCTGTTTAAAAGCTTCCAAAGAAGGAGCCTCCACCACACTCCAGGGCAGAGAGTTCCACTGCTGAACGGCTCTCTCAGTCAGGAAGTTCTTCCTCATGTTCAGATGGAATCTCCTTTCTTGTAGTTGGAAGCCAGAAAACAAGCTCTTCTTCAGGCTAAACATGCCCAGCTCCTTAAGCCGCTCCTCATAGGGCTTGTTCTCCAGACACTTGATCATTTTAGTCACCCTCCTCTGGACACATTCCAGCTTATTGTCAAAGGCTTTCATGGCCGGAATCACTGGGTTGTTGTAGGTTTTTTCAGGCTGTATGGCGATGGTCCAGAGGCATTCTCTCCTGACGTGAGGCATTCTCTCCTGACGTTCCTCACTACCTCTGAGGATGCTTGCCATAGATGCAGGCGAAACATCAGGAGAGAATGCCTCTGGACCATGGCCATACAGCCCAAAAAAACCTACAACCCAAATTCCAGCTTTTCAATCAGAGTCTCGTCACCTGAGAAATGCTTGCCCTTCAAAAATAACATCATTGTTGGAAAGAGGTGGAAGCCCGATAGTGTGAGGTCGGGGGAATCAGGGGGATGTGGTAGAATTTCAAAGCCAGAGGAGCATGCTTCTTCCGTGTGTGCAACAGGGAAGTTGTGAACTGGTGCATTGCCTTGCAGAAGATGGACACTTTTGGTGAGCATGCCACATTGTCTCTTTGGATGGCCTCCCGCAATGTCTGCAGGAGTGAAGCAAGTATGTCCCAGTGATGATGGTCCCCTTTGCTAGGAAATCCATCCATCCATCTCCGCGCTGGTCCAAAAATCCTCTGAGAATGACCTTGCCTGCCAAGAGTTGGGAATGTGCCTTCTTTGGAGGCGAGAGTCAGGATGCTTCCATGGCATCGACTGGACTTGAGTCTCAGGATCAGAGGGATGGACCCAGCTTTCCTCCTATGTGGTCAGTCTGTTGACAAAGTCCTCCATGGTTTCCATGGCACATCACTGTCAAGAGAGCTGGAGAGCATCCAACTCGTTCCTGCTCCTGGAAAGATGTGAGCGGCTGGGGAACCCAGCGAGTGGACACTTTAAGCATGTGAAGGTGGTCTTGGATGATGTTTTCCATGGACCCACACTCATCTTAACATTTTGGGATAGGTGGAGAATGTTTATGCGGCGATTTTCCAAAACGGGAACCTCCACTTGCTGGATGGTGTGTTCATCAAGAGAATGGAGTCGGAATTGGAGCTGTTTGCACCGAAATCCGACCACATTGGAATGGATGATGCCAGTTCTTGACTCCATCATCTGATGGGGAATCATCATCATAAATTTCATCCATCTCCTCGAATGTCTCCTTTGGTATGCGGCCTTTCAAGTCAAGGAATTGGAGGACTGCTCTGTATTACACTGAATCCATTCTCAAACCTCACTCCGCTTCAGCACCTGTCACATCAAGACCGTTGTCAGTTCTGAGTTGTAAATTGGAACGTAGCCTATAGAGACTTATATCATTACACATGTGCAATTTCAGCATCCTATGATAAATATAAGTGGGTCAGGGGAAATCTTTAATGAACGCCCCTCGTACCTAGAAGAATCCATCTTGTGCGACTGTGGAGCAGAACAAACAACTCCGCATCTGTATGCTTGTCCACAATGTCCTGCCTTATGTACAGAAGAATTGTTTAAAGCTACAGATAATGCAGTCGCTGTTGCCCATTTTTGGTCAAAAAATATTTAGCCGCTTGTGCGCCATCTATTTTTATCAGTTATATACTTTTTTATACAATGCTTTTGATACAAAATAAATAAATGGGACTGTGGGTCATTTAAAACTTGAAGGTCTAGCTATCCGATGGCATCGTAGTTGCAAAAGCCACAAGTACAAATTTCCTCCTATGATTTCGCTTAACACCTCGGATCCTCACGTTCTTCTTTTTCATGTCTCATTACCTGTCAGGAAGGGACAGATCTCACGGACCAGTTCAGCAGAACGTGGTGAAAGCCTTATCGAAGGCGACAACAGCGTTCCTCCCCAAAGTGAGTACAATTTTTTCAATTAGGCAAACCCTTGTTGTCCAAGTAAGATTGTCCTCCAAGGTCATTGTTCTGTCAGTGGGTCCGTAGGTGACTGTGGAGCCCATTTCTTGACCTGCATGTTCTCCCGCAGTGAGGGCATTGGTTTCCAGGTGGAAGGTTGTCCCAGTCGGGGTTGGCTTGACATGCCTTCCGCTTGGCACGTTTCTCTCTTTCGCCCTCCATTCGTGCCTCTTCAAATTCTGCAGCACTGCTGGTCACAGCTGACCTCCAGCTGGAGCGCTCAAGTGCTAGGGCTTCCCAGTTCTCAGTGTCTATGCCAGAGTTTTTAAGGTTGATTTTGAGGCCATCTTTCAATCTCTTTTCCTGTCCTCCAACATTCTGTTTTCCGTTCTTGAGATCGGAGTAAAGCAACTGCTTTGGGAGACGGTGGTCGGGCATCCGGCAATGTGGCCAATCCAGCGGAGTTGATGGCGGAGGACCATCGCTTCAATGCTGGTGGTCTTTGCTTTTTTCAGCACGTTGACATTTGTCCGCTTGTCTTCCCAAGAAATTTGCAGGATTTTCCAGAGGCAATGCTGATGGAATCATTCCAGGAGTTGCATGTGATGTCTGCAGACAGTCCACGTCTTGTAGGCATATAGCAGAGTTGGGAGGACAATAGCTTTATAAACAAGCCCCTTGGTCTCCCTACGGATGTCCCAGTCCTCAAACACTCTCTGCTTCATTCAGAAAAATGCTGCACTCAGAGAGCTCAGGCAGTGTTGTATTTCGGTGTCGATGTCGACTTTGGTGGAGAGGTGGCTCCCAAGGGAGCAGAAATGGTCAACATTTTCTAATGTTACACGATTAAGCTATATCTCGGCCATTGGAGAGGGATTGGCCAGTGACTGCTGGAAGAGCACTTTGGTTTTCTCGATGTTTAATGACAGGCCGAGCTGCTCGTATGCTTCTGCGAAGGTATTTAGTAGCTTGTAGGTCTTCTTCTGAATGTGCACAGACAACATTGTCATCAGCATACTGGAGTTCTATAATAGATGTTGTTGTAACCTTGGTTTTGGCTTTCAGTCTGCTGAGGTTAAATAGGTTACAAACCATGTATTGCTGGGGTGGGGTGAAACCATCTTGACTGAAAATAAACCGTTGGTGAAAATGTTTACTTCTTCACAGAAATCACGGAATAAAGAGATAAAAAGTAGGAAAGTTTGAACTAAAAGCGGAAATGATCCGACATCAACAACCAAAGCAGCCGTAGCAAAACTAAAACTGCGTCGGGGAATATGGTAAGACCACCAAACAGAGAAAAATCACCGAGATATATAGATAGATGTTGTGCTGACCAGAAAAAATTAGTGTTTTATCAAACCAAATTCGTTATATTTAAGGGGATTCTAATTCAAAAAGACTGCAAAAATTAAGAGATTTTCCCCTGATGTCTCTCATGCTGTTTTCTGTTTAATTACTATAGTTACTGTTTTATAACAGCAGTTAATAGAACAGGAACCGATTAGATGTCATTTGAAGAGAGCCAATGGCATGACACTTAGACCAATGCCCTTTCAACCATCTGAATATATCTCTATTTTTTAAACATGTGTAAATCAGCAAGGTATAATTTGGTGGCTCCCAACCTATAGTCCGTGGACCACCAGTGGTCTGCAAAACTAAAATATGGTCCGGGGCATTACTACAACGTTGCAATGAGCGACTGGTCTCGCAAAACCCTCTTATAGCACCGAGGCTTATGAAATATGGTTTTCTGAGGGTGAGCAGATGGCGACTACTGGGTGGCATATGTTCTGTATCAGAAAGTAGAGCTGATGTGGTCTATCCAGCATCCCAAATAACCAACCCGAATCTCAAGTTGACCAAAAACTGATTTGTAATCCTTTTGGTACTAATGTTGGAGTGTGGTCCCTGGTTAAAGTGGTCCCTACTCAGAGCGGTCCATGATCAAAGTGGTCCCTGGTCACGTGGGCCCTGGTCAAAGTGATCCTTGGTCAGAGCGGTCCCTGGTCAAAGTGGTCCTTGGTCAGAGTGGTCCCTAGTTAAAGTGGTTGGTGGTCAAAGTGGTCCCTGGTCAGAGCGGTCCCTGGTCAAAGTTGTCCCTGGTCAGAGCGGTCCTTGGTCAGAGCAGTCGCTGTTCAAAGTGATCCTTGGTCAGAGCGGTCCTTAGTCAAAGTGGTCCTTGGTCAGAGAGGTCCCTGGTCAAAGTGGTCCCGGGTCAGAGTGGTCCTTGGTCCGAGCGGTCCTTGATCAGAGTGGTTCCTGGTCAGAGCGGTCCTTGGTCAAAGTGGTTCCTGGTCAAAGTGGTCCTTGGTCAGAGCAGTCGCTGGTCAAAGTGATCCTTGGTCAGAGCGGTCCTTGGTCAAAGTGGTCCTTGGTCAGAGCAGTCCCTGGTCAAAGTGGTCCTTGGTCAGAGTGGTCCCTGGTCAAACTGGTCGTTGGTCAGAGCGGTCTCTGGTCAAAGCGGTCCTTGATCAGAGTGGTCCCTGGTCAATGAGGTCCCTGGTCAGAGAGGTCCCTGGTCAAAGTGGTCCCAGGTCAGAGCGGTCCTTGATCAGAGTGGTCCCTAGCCAGAGCAGTCCCTGGTCAAAGTGGTCCTTGGTCAGAGCTGTCCCTGGTCAACGTGGTCCTTGGTCAGAGCAGTCCCTGGTCAAAGTGGTCCTTGGTCAGAGCGGTCCCTGGTCAAAGTGGTCCTTGGTCAGAGCGGTCCCTAGTCAAAGTGGTCCCGGGTCAGAGCGGTCCTTGGTCAGAGCGGTCCTTGATCAGAGTGGTTCCGGGTCAGAGCGGTCCCTGGTCAAAGCGGTCCCTGGTCAAAGTGGTCCCTAGTCAGAGCAGTCCCTGGTCAAAGTGGTCCTTGGTCAGAGCAGTCGCTGGTCAACGTGATCCTTGGTCAGAGCGGTCCTTAGGCAAAGTGGTCCTTGGTCAGAGCAGTCCCTGGTCAAAGTGGTCCTTGGTCCGAGCGGTCCTTGGTCAAACTGGTCGTTGGTCAAACTGGTCGTTGGTCAGAGCGGTCTCTGGTCAAAGCGGTCTCTGGTCAATGAGGTCCCTGGTCAGAGAGGTCCCTGGTCAAAGTGGTCCCAGGTTAAAATGGTTCCTGGTCAAAGCGGTCCCTGGTCAAAGCGGTCTCAGGTCAAAATGGTCCCTGGTCAAATCGGTCCCAAAAAAAGGTTGGGAACCACTACTATAAATGATAAAGAATGGGCTTAGCCTGAATCATTGCACTGTATTTGATATGCCTTCCTAATATTTGGCCAAGGCTCTTTCTTGAATCCGTTCTCTCTCTGTCCAGACCAAAATCAGTCTATAAATATAGGCTTGGAGAGAAAGCAAGAGCATCAGGTGACTTGGAAAACTGGATTCTAGGCATTTTCAATTTCAATTTTTGGATAGTTATGTAGGTAGTTTAGTTTCAACTGTTTACGTGGGGATTAATGTTGTCTGGGCCACTTTCAACATAAAAAATAGCGGAAGATGCACGCAAGTAAACACCCATTTTTCAATAATTGCCTGTTCTGTATATTTTTTTTCCAGGAATCCAGAACACTATTCCAAGATACTGTGAAAGAAGACAATCTTGCTAATATTTCACAGGACGTGGTGTTTGAGCATAGCTGTACATTGATCATGTTGCCCTTGCCAGGCAGAGAAGGCCAGAGGTATGTGAAGCTGCCAAGAGATGGATTACAACCAGTTTCATCTTCACGAATAGAAACAGAGGAAGTACTGTTGAATCATGTCAGGACGCCATTCGGGAATCCCGAGAAAGCACTGCATTCCATCCCTTCCTTTTTATCAGAGGCAAAATGTATATATATTTTAAAAGATATGGAAAATAAAAAGGACCTTGATTGTGTGGAGTGGATCCTCATGGGTCAGAGAAGATGCAGTCAACAAAATAATAAAATTTACTTTTTCACATGATAAAACTTGCAGAATCGTAATATGTTCTCGACTCCTTTACTTTGAACTAGTTGGAAGGTTTCAGGCAACGAGGTTTTTGGGACACAATGGATGTCAGTCAACAGAACGTGTCTAGAACTGTGTTGAGCCACAAAGAATGGCGGCCAATGCCCACTGCTTTCCCCCAGAGTCACTGCACAATTTGGGAAAAGTACAACAGCTAGGATACTGCACAATACAACGCCACTCGTGATAATGAACTCTCTAAGAAATAGACTAAGATTTATAATTCAGTCCTGACCTGAGTGAATCAGATTATAAGGACATGCAACACTGTACTGAGTGCTATTATCAGTCACATTTTAATGTGCAAGCACCTTTATATATGTATGCATTTATTTATTTATCATATCAGGAGCAAACTAAACAGTTGTATTGCATTTTTTGACAAACAAACAAACAAACAAACAAAACACAAGGTTTGCAAGCTTGGTAGTGGATTAAATGTCCTTTGACCAGTATCTGGCCACTTGGATTGCCTCTGATGTTGCTGCATGTGCATGTAGCAGGGCTCAGGTTGCATTGCAGCAGATGGTCAGTGGTTTGCTCTTCTCCGCACTCACGTGTCGTGGATTCCATTTTGTGGCCCCGTTTCTTAAGGTTGGCTCTGCATCTCGTGGTGCCAGAGTGCCATCTGTTCAGCACCTTCCAAGTCACCCAGTTTTCTGTGTGCCCAGGGGAGAGTCTCTCATCTGGTATCAGCCATTGATTGAGGTTCTGGGTTTGAGCCTGCCACTTTTGGACTCTCGCTTGCTGAGGTCTTCCAGTGAGTGTCTCTGTGGATCTTGTAAAACTATTTCTTGATTTAAGTTGTTGGCATGCTGGCTGATACCCAAACAGATGAGCTGGAGATGTCACTGCCTTGGTCCTTTCATTGTTGGTTGCTACTTCCCGGCGGACGTCAGGTGGTGCAATACTGGCTAAACAGTGTAATTTCTCCAGTGGTATAGGGCGCAGACTCCTCGTGATAATGCGGCATGTCTCATTCAGACCCACATCCACTGTTTTAGCGTGGAGAGATGTGTTCCACACTGGGCATGCATACTCAGCAGCAGAGTAGCATAGCGCAAGGGTAGATGTTTTCACTGTGTCTGGTTGTGATCCTCAGGTTGTGCCAGTCAGCTTTCATATGATATTGTTTCTAGCACCCACTTTTTTGCTTGATATTCAGTCAGTGCTTCTTGTAGGACAGAGCACAGTCCAGAGTGACTCCCAGGTAGTCCCATGGACTTCGGAACTCTTATGGACCCTATACCAAACCTTTATGAACCTTTCTTAAGGTTGGCTTTGCATCAGGCAGATCTTTATGTGAAAGGTCATGGAGATAGATTTAAAGGACTCTATTCAGAATCTGGGTTGCTGTGTGTTTTCTGGGCTGTATGTCCATGTACCAGAAGCATTATCTCCTGATGTTTCACTTGCATCTATGGCAGGCATCCTCAGAGGTTGGGAAGTCTGAATCTTCTGCACAAAGGGACCAAAGGACTATCCTACATCCAACCACTCTGCAGAGTTTCATTATTCTGCCAACTTAAACCTGTATTTTCAACATATGACATTTATGGAGTGGGTTGGCTTGAGAGGCCTTCTAATCATTTCTTTTTCAAACATAAGAATTGTTCATCTCATAAGCCAATACAGATAGTCTTGTCCAGATCATTTTTTTGTATAGTAGAAATTAATCATTCCCAGGATTAAATCAGTATTGTGTCCGTACAGCGTTTCTCAACCTGGGGGTCAGGACCCCTGGGAGGAGTTGCAAGGGGGTATCAGAGCAGTCACCAAAGACCATCAGAAAAAATAGTATTTTCTGTTGGTCAGTTGGGTTCTGTGTGGGAAGTTTGGCTCAATTCTATCATTGGTGGGGATCAGAATGCTCTTTGGTTGTAGGTGAACTATAAATCCCAGCGACTACAACTCCCAAATGTCAAGGTATTTTCCCCAAACTCGACCAGTATTCACGTCTGGGCATATTGAGTATTTGTGCCCGGTTTGGTCAATCTCCATCACTGTTTGAGTCCACAGTGCTCTTTGGTTTTAGGTGAACTATAAATCCCACCAACTACAACTCCCAAATGTCCTGGTCTATTTCCCCAAGCTCCACCAGTGTTCACGTTTGGGCATATTGAGTATTTGTGCCAAGTTTGGTCCAGATCCATCACTGCTTGAGTCCACAGTGATCTCTGGATGTAGGTGAACTACAACTCCAAAACTCAAGGCCAATGCTCACCAAACATGTTTCATTTAGTCATGGGAATTCTGTGTGCCAAGTTTGGTTCCATTCCATCATTGGTGGAGTTCAGAATGTTCTTTGATTGTAGGTTAACCATAAATCCCAGCAACTACAACTCCCAAACGACAAAAGCAATATCCCCCACCCAACCCGAACAGCATTCAAATTTGGGAGTATCGAGTATTTGTGCCAAATTAGGTCCAGCGAATGAAAATACATCCTGCACATTGGATATTTATATTATGATTCATAACAGTAGCAAAATGGCAGTTATGAAGGAGCAAGGAAAATAACGTTATGGTTGGAGGTCACCAGAACATCAGGAACTGTGTTAATAGTTTGTGGCAGGTTTAGAGCCGCTGTTGTAGAGTCTCTCAACAGATGTAGGTTTAAGACATCCTGTGATTATTCTGCATGTTTCGTTCAATGCTATGTTCACCTGCTTCACGTGGGCAGACCTGGGATTCGATCCTGGGATATCGGGCTTGTCTGGAAGGGCCCTAACAAGACCAATGTTTCAATAGATCTCAAAACTCATTCTGCAAAACAGAACAGACACAGAGACCAGCAAATCAAGGCCAAAGTTTCCATACGGCAATAAATCCAAGTAAAATGGAGACCTCCAATCCACATATAAAGAAGCCCAGGAACTGTGTTAAGAGGTCGCGGCATTAGGAAGGTTGAGAGCCACTGTTGTAGAGTCTATCAACAGGTGTAGGTTTAAGACATCCTGTGATTATTCTGCATGTTTTGTTCAATGCTATGTTCACCTGTTTCACATGGGCAGACCTGGGATTAGATCCTGAGATATAGGGCTTGTCTGGAAGGACCCTAAAAAGAACAAATGTTTCAATAGATTTCAAAACTCATTCTGTAAAACAGAATGGACAAAGAGCCCGGCAAATCAAGGCCAAAATCTCCATACGGCAATGAATCCAAGTAAAATGGAGACCTCCAATCCACATACAAAGAAGCCCAGGAACTGTGTTAAGAGGTTGCGGCATTAGGAAGGTTGAGAGCCACTATTGTAGAGTCTCTCAACAGGTGTAGGTTTAAGGCATCCCGTGATTATTCTGCATGTTTCATTCAATGCCATGTTCACTTGGGATTCGATCCTGGGATATCGGGCTTGTCTGGAAGGGCCCTAACAAGACCAATGTTTCAATAGATTTCAAAACTCATTCTGTAAAACAGAATGGACACAGAGCCTGGCAAATCAAGGCCAAAGTCTCCATACGGCAATGAATACAAGTAAAATGGAGTCCTCCAATCCACATATAAAGAAGCCCAGGAACAGTGTTAAGAGGTTGCGGCAATAGGAAGGTTGAGAGCTACTGTTGTAGAGTCTCTCAACAAGTGTAGGTTTAAGACATCCTGTGATTATTCTGCATGTTTCATTCAATGGTATGTTCACCTGCTTCGCGTGGGCAGACCTGGGATATAGGGCTTGTCTGGAAGGACCCTAAAAAGAAGAGGCAGCGGCATTAGGAAGGTTGAGAGCCACTGTTGTAGAGTCCCTCAACAGGTGTAGGTTTAAGACATCCTGTGATTATTCTGCATGTTTCTTTCAATGCCATGTTCACCTGGGATTCGATCCTGGGATATAGGGCTTGTCTGGAAGGGAAAATAACACCACTCTAACAAGCAAAGGAAAACACTGGCATTTAAGACAGGGCTTCCGAAGTCTGTATTTAGAAGCAAAACAGCATTTGGATAAGAAAGAAATAATCAGAACGGCTTACAATTTCCGCCGGCAGTGAAACTCCCCCTCCTCCCAAGTCCCTAATATCTGCCTCTTGCTCCCGGCAGTGTGCTTTTTGGGAACAGAGGGGGGGAAAAATCAGACTTAATTGTATGACTCTCACGGGAACGGCAGTACAATCATAAGACAATATGTCAAGTCATAAATTATTGCCACAGATTTCAAGCAGCAGAAAGAGAGATTAATTTCTGGCACCCACATGATTCTTCTCCCATTTCTCTATCCTATCTCAATGCAAAACGGTGGGTGTTTTAAATGTTGCTGATGCCTGTCTCAGGATGGAAAACAAAACAACTCGTTAGGTTACGATCACTCAGCGTTCTCTGTGCTGCCGCAACTCAGCACTCTCCTCGCGGTCTCCATTTCCGACAAGTGACCTTAAAGGCTAGGTGTCAAAGGAAGGAGAAGCCAGGTCTGGTGCCAACAACAGGGCCAACTTTCAAGTAAAGTGTGCTCAGGAGTGAGGTATACAAAGTCATATAAGCAAGACGAGAGAGGGGTGGGTGCTCTCCTTTCTCAGCCATTGAGGACTGTGTGGTTACGTCAAACTGGGTGTTGTTGTGCTCTGCCACAGAGGGGATAGTTGCGATACATCTTCAAGGAACATTCAGACGGTTAGGGCAGCCGAACAATGCTTATAATGGGTTGTTGTAGGTTTTTTTCGGGCTATATGGCCATGTTCTAGAGGCATTCCCTCCTGACATTTTGCCTGCCTCTATGGCAAGCATCCTCAGAGGTAGTGAGGTCTGTTGGAACTAGGAAAATTGGGTTTATATATCTGTGAAATGACCAGGGTGGGGCAAAGAACTCTTTTCTGTTGGAGCTAGGTGTGAATGTTTCAACTGACCACCTTGATTAGCATCTGATGGCCTGGCAGTGCCTGGGGCAATCTTTTGTTGAGAGGTGATTAGATGCCCCAGATTGTTTCCTCTCTGTTGTTTTGCTATTATAATTTTAGAGTTTTTTTAATACTGGTAGCCAGATTTTGTTCATTTTCATGGTTTCCTCCTTTCTGTTGAAATTGTCCATATACTTGTGGATTTCAGTGGCTTCTCTGTGTGGCCTGGCATGGTGGTTGTTAGAGGGGTCCAGCATTTCTGTGTTCCCAAATAATATTCTGTGTCCAGATTGGTTCATCAGGTGCTCTGCTATGGCTGGCTTCTCTGGTTGAATTAGTCTGCCATGCCTTTCATGTTCCTTGATTCGTTTTTGGGCAATGCTGCTGCGTTTGGTGGTCCCTACGTAGACTTGTCCACAGCTGCATGGTATACAGTAGACTCCTGAATAAGTGAGAGGATCCCTTATTCTTATTTGAGAACACAGAAATGCTGGACCACTCGAACAACCACCATGTCAGACTACACAGAGAAGCCGCTAAAATCCATAAGTGGACAATTTCAACAGAAAGGTGGGCACATTGAGTATTTGTGCCAAGTTTGGTCCAGATCCATCACTGTTTGAGCCCACAGTGCTCTTTGGTTGTAGGTGAACTATAAATTCCAGCAACTACAACTCCCAAATGTCCAGGTCTATTTCCCTCAAACTCCGCCAGTGTTCACGTTTGGGCATATTGAGTATTTGTGCAAAGTTTGGTCCATCTCCATCACTGTTTCGGGTCCACGGTGCCCTTTGGTTGTACGTGAACTATAAATCCCACCAATTACAACTTCCAAATGTCCTGGTCTATTTCCCCAAGCTCCACCAGTGTTCACGTTTGGGCATATTGAGTATTTGTGCCAAGTTTGGTCCAGATCCATCACTGTTTGAGTCCACAGTGATCTCTGGATGTAGGTGAACTACAACTCCAAAACCAAAGGACACCCTTCCAGTATTTTCTGTTGGTCATGGGAGAACTATGTGCCAGATTTGGTTCAATTCCATAGTCAGTGGGGTTCAGAATGCTCTTTGATTGTACGTGAACTATAAATCCCAGCAACTACAACTCCCAAATGACAAAATCAATTTTTTTGAATGAAGGCCAAACATTGGGTTGTTAGGTGTTTTATGTCCAAATTTGGTGTTGATTCCCCCAGTGGTTTTGGAGTTCTGTTAATCCCACAAACGAACATGACATTTTTATTTATATAGCTAAACCTTTGGTGATTCTTAAAGATTGGACTCTGTATCTTTGCCTGCCTAAGGTCTTAAATTCTTATAGCCACAACCAATAGCACTTCATCCTCTGCTCGCAAATGAGCTGATGCTCAACTTTTTATCCTGTTTGATTTTTGGATGCTCTGCTCTATTTTAGGGTACTTTTCCCTAACAAAATGGGTTTGTGAAAGAAAAATAGGAAGGCTGAAAAGAGCAGAGAGGTTTCTTTAAAAAGGCTTTTGAAGTTTTTGGAGCATCTTAATTTTTGGAAGGATGCAAAGAATGGAAAGGAGACAAGAGTTCTCCCTGAATTTTCCAAAACTCGCAGAAAATGGGTCTAATTATTTGACTTGGAAGAAGAGATTGGAGCTACTTCTGGATTGAAAGCAAACCAAGTTCTGTCAACAAGATCCCCACCTCTTCTTTCCTCTTTATTCTCAATATATTTAATATCCTGAATAAAATATATATTTGAAGACTGGAAAAAAAGATCCACCCCAAGCTGATCATGATGAGTATGAAGCATAGACAAAAATCAACAGATGGCTGAGAGCCTTAATTGCAAATTCCTTATCTGAGAAGGCTTTTGAATATGTTAAGGATGATGCAACAGCTAAAGACACACTTGCACATCTGGAGAAAATCCACAGCAAGAGGTCTTTTGATGAAAGCACATGGATGTATCAGAAAATCTTCAAAATGGCTTATGGGACTACATCAACTGGTGCCCAACGAACACACAGTGGCTTAAACCTGACTTGCTCTTGCAGGGCCCAAATGAATCAGAGTCATGACCGTGGTGTAGGCATGGAGCAGGTCGTCCTTGGCGTCGTGATACTCTCGGAGTATGAAATTCCCCGTCACAATCCGATCGCAGCCAATCTCCCCGTGTCCAAAAAATCCAAAGAGAGGAATGTTGGGGAAGAACTTGCGGAAAGCATCGGCCTCCAGGTTCTGCTTGGTTTTGTAATGCTGGTACCCCCTGCCCACGCAGGCAAACATGAACCCAAGGCTGTTGTGTTCGGGGATGTTGGCAGCCTTGAGGCGCTGCATGGCAGCTTCGGCCGTCCTCTCGTCCACTACGTCCTGATCTAAGAGGACAGAAGCGCTTTGGATCTGGGCTCCGCTAAAAGCCAAGCCAACCACCCCACAGGACTCAGCAGCCTGAGAGTTACTGGAAGAAAGAAAGAAAGAAAGAAAGAAAGAGAGAGAGAGAGAGAGAGAGAGAGAGAGAGAGAGGGAGGGAGGGAGAGAGAGAGAGAGAAAGAGAGAGAGAAAGAAAGAGAGAGGGAGAGAGTGAGAGAGAGAGAAAGAAAGAAAGAAAGAAAGAAAGAGAGGAGAGAGAAAGAAAGAGAGAGAGAGAGAGGGAGGGGGAGAGAGAGAAAGAAAAAGAGATAAAGAAAGAAAGAAAGAAAGAAAGAAAGAAAGATAAAGAAAGAAAGAAAGAAAGAGAGATAAAGAAAGGGAGAGAGAGGGAGAGAGAGAAACAACATAACAGTTTAATCAGGATACGGCACAATAAGCTTACCACATTTGCTGGGGTTAGAGACACAGGATCCCATAAACATGGAAAAATGTGAATAATAATAATAATAATACTTTATTTATACCCCACTACCATCTCCACAAGGGGACTCGGGGCAGCTTACATGAGGCCAAGCCCATCAACACATCAGTAAACAACAAAGCAATAAGCAAATAAAACAATATAATTAATATAACACATATAAGCAGTAAAGGTAAAGGTAAAGGTAGTCCCCTGACATTAAGTCCAGTCATGTCTGACTCTGGGGTGTGGTGCTCATCTCCATTTCTAAGCCGAAGAGCCAATCGTTGTCCGTAGACACCTCCAAGGTCATGTGGCCGGCATGACTGCATGGAGCGCCGTTACCTTCCCGCCGGAGCGGTACCTATTGATCTACTCACATTTGCATGTTTTCGAACTGCTAGGTTGGCAGAAGCTAGGGCTGACAGCGGAAGCTCATGCCGCTCCCCGGAATCGAACCTGCGACCTTTTGATCAACAAGCTCAGCAGCTCAGTGCTTTAAACCACTGCGCCACCGGGGGCTCCATATAAGAAGTAACACACAAAAATTTAAAAACCTATGGCTGGGCCAGATGTAATAGTTTAAAATTTTAAAAAATAAACGCTGGGCATGAACAGCCACCCCGAGTCCCCCTTGGGGAGATGGTGGCGGGGTATAAATAAAGATTATTATTATTATTATTATTATTATTATTATTATTATTATTTGAAACACAACAAGATGAGTCCACAGAAGACACTCTGTTGGCTGTTGTTTTGGATCACACATCGGACACTTCCAAGTGTCTAGGACTGTGTGATGTATCGACGAATTATTATTATTATTATTACTATTATTATTTGGTCTTGTCAGGAGTGACTTGAGAAACTGCAAGTCACTTCTGGTGTGAGAGAATTGGCTGTCTGCAAGGACGTTGCCCAGGGGGCGCCTGGATGTTTTGATGTGTTACCATCCTTGTCCTCGCATGAGGAGCTGGAGCTGATAGAGGGAGCTCATCCGCCTCACCCTGGATTAGAACCTGTGACCTGTTGGTCTTCAGTCCTGCCAGCACAGGGTTTTAACCCACTGCGCCATCGGGGACTCCATATCAACGAATGATGCGTGCAGATCCCAGTAGGGTGGCCTTCTGCAGCTTGCAGATGGTAATGTTGTCAGCGCCGATTGTGTTTAAGTGCAAGCCAAGGTCTTTAGGCACTGCACCCAGTGTGCCAATCACCACTGGGACCTCCTTGACTGGCTTGTGCCACAGTCTTTGCAGTTCAATCTTTAAATCCTCATATTGTGTCAGCTTTTCCAGTTGTTTCTCTGTAATCCTGCTGTCACCTGATTAAAATATTTTCTCTAGGAACTTTCTAATAATAATAATAATAATAATAATAATAATAAGAAGAAGAAGAAGAAGAAGAAGAAGAAGAAGAAGAAGAAGAAGAAGAAAGTTCCTAGAGAAAATATTTTAATCAAATCTAAAAGGTAAAGGTTTGACTTTGCCATTAAGCCTAGTGGAGTCCGACTATAAGACTCTGACGCTCACCTCCATTTCTAAGTTGAAGAGCCGGCGTTGTCCATAGATACCTTCAAGGTCATGTGGCCAGCATGACTGAATGAAGCGCCATTATCTTCCCATTGATCTACTCACGTTTTCATGTTTTTGAACTGCTAGGCTGGCAGAAGCTGGGGCTAACAGAGGGATCTCACCCCATTCCCTGGATTTGAACCATCAACCTTCTGGTCAGCAAGTTTCTGCAGCTCAGTGGTTTAACCCACTGCACCACCAGATAATTAAATCCCCCAAAGTCAAGCCCACATATGTGGGGTGCTGACTGCAGTACCAACAAAATAAAACATAGCAAACCAAACAGAAATGTCATTATTCAGAAAACATGAAAAGTAGGCAGTTTGTGACCGCTGCAAACAACATGCCACTCGTTTCTCTTGGCACAGCACTCGACTCCTACTTACAGCTCTAACCACAAGATCTGTTTCGAGGTCATTAACAGGTCTGAATATCTAAGCTTTGCTAATCTACTTTTTGGAAAGAGAGTAAGTACGTATGGAAAATAATTGGGCCACAATTTGATTGACCACATTAGGCTGAAAGAATTTAAAATGAAGTGACAGAACCTTGAAGCTCTCTCTGCATATGCCTTTATATTGTCTTTTTTCATGTCATTTCTTAATTATGTGTATTATAATATAATATATTATGATATAATTGTATAATATATAGTAATATATATAATCTATATATATATATATAAATGCTCTGTGCATAATTAGTACCTTAAAAACAAAAGAACCAATGAACGAAATCACACCAAATTTGGCAACAAAACGTCTCACAACACAAGGAATAACCATCACTCAAAAAATTATGATTTTGTAATTTGGGAGTTGTAGTTGCTGGGATTTATAGTTCACCTACAATCAAAGAGCATTCTGAACTCCAACGATGGAATTGAACCAAACTTGGCACACAGAACTCCCTTGACCAACAGAAAATACTGGAAGGGTTTGGTGGGCATGGACCTTGAGTTTGGGAGTTGTAGTTCACCTTCATCCAGAGAGCACTGTGGACTCAAACAATGATGGATCTGGACCAAACTTGGCACATTCCATATGCCTAAATATGAACACAAATGGAGTTTGGAGGAAATAGACCTTGACATTTGGGATTTGTTGTTACTGGGATTTATAGTTCACTACAATTAAAGAGCATTCTGAAACCCACAAATGACAGAAATGGGCAAACTTCCCACACAGAACCCCATGTCCAACAGAAAATCCTTAAGGCCATTCAATCCAACTCCCTTCATCAGGGCAAGAAAACGTAATCAAAGCCCTCCAGACAAAGAGCCATCCAGCCATAGATAGATATAGATAGATAGATAGATAGATAGATAGATAGATAGATAGATATGATTCACACACACACGGATATAGTATCATAGATTTGAAAGGGACCCTTAAAGAAGGACAATTATATGTTACATGTTCCAGGGTGGGTAAACCAGACACTCTCCACATCAACACTGACAAAGAAACAAGAAGTACTGTTTACCCACAAGCAGAAAGACATTACATATATTAGAAACCAACACTTTCTCATTTACTTTATTTTCCAGATCAACAGATTGGGCCACAGCAACACGCGGCAGGGCAGCTAGTATTATACATAATACTTGTTATAGTATATTAAATGAACCTCTCATTTGCTTTGATATGTGTCATTTCTCTTTCTTGTTTCCAGTGCTATGCTAATAATATCAATATAATATAATATATTGTATATACATATAGTATTTATAATATTATAATATAATACAATATAATACTACTACTAAGAAGATGATATTGTAATTATATATTTATATTACATGTAATATGACTATTAATATTACAATATAATGGTATAGTACAATATAGTAATATTTAATACTGATATTGTGCTATGTTAATAATATAATATCAGCCATAGCAGAGCACCTGATGAACCAACCTGGACATAGCACATTATTTGAGAACACAGAAGTGCTGGACCACTCTCACAACCACCATGTCAGACTAGACATAGAAGCCATTGAAATCCACAAGCATGTGGACAATTTCAACAGAAAGGAAGAAACCATGAAAATGAACAAAATCTGGCTACCAGTATTAAAAAACTCAAAAATTACAGCAGCAAAACAACAGAGGGGAAACAAACAGGCACATGAAATCACTCTCAACAAAAGATTCCCCCCAGGCGCTTCCAAGCCATTGAATGCAAATCAAGGTGATCAGCTGAAACATTCACACCTAGCCCCAGCAAACAAAAGTCCTTTGTCTCACCCTGGTCATTCCACAGATATATAAACCCATTTTTCCTACTTCCAACAGACCTCATTACCTCTGAGGATGCTTGCCAGAGATGCAGGCGAAACGTCAGGAGAAAAATTGCCTCCAGAACATGGCCATATAGCCCGGAAAAACCTACAACAACCCATATACTAGTTGTCCCCTGCCACACACTGCTGTGGCCCAGTCTGGTGATCTGGAAAATAAAGTAATTACAACTCCCAAATGTCAAGGTCTATTTCCTCGGAACTCCATCTGTGTTCATATTTGGGCATATGGAGTATTCGTGCCAAGTTTGGTCTAGATCCTTCATTGTTTGAGTCCACAGTGCTCTCTAAACGTAGGAGAACTACAACTCCTAAACTCAAGATCAATGCGCACCAAATGCTTCCTGTATTTTCCATTGGTCATGGGGGTTTTGTATTAGAAGTTTAGGCCAATTCTATCGTTGGTGGACTTCAGAATGCTCTTTGACTGTAGGTGAACTATAAATCCTAGTAACTAAAACTCCCAAATGTCAAGGACTATTTTCCCCAAACTCCACTAGTGTTCACATTTGGGCATATTGAGTATTTGTGCCACGTTTGGTCCTGATCCATCATTGTTTGAATCCACAGTGCTCTCTGGATATAAGTGTACTACAACTCCCACACTCAAGGACACTGCCCACCAAACCTTTCCAGTATTTTCTGTTGGACATGGGAGTTCTGTGTGCCGAGTTTGGTTCAATTCAATCATTGGTGGAGTTCAGAATGCTCTTTGATTGGACGTGAACTATAAATCCCAAATGACAAAATCATAATTTTTTGTGTGATGGTCGCTCCTTGTGTTGTGAGACGTTTTGTTGCCAAATTTGGTGTGATTTCGTTCATTGGTTCTTTTGTTTTTAAGGTACTCATTATGCACAGAACATATTTATATATATAGATTGTATGTGTGTGTGTGTGTGTGTGTGTGTGTGTGTGTGTGTGTGTGTGTATATATATATATATATATATATGTATCTTGAGAGCCACTCCGAGTCCCCCTTGGGGTGAGAAGGGCGGCATATAAATACCATAAATAAATAAATAAATAAATAAATAAATAAATAAATCCATCCATCCATCCATCCATCCATCCATCCATCTGTTGAAGAGAACTTATTTTGGAATAGTGGACCTCCCCCATCCAGCCATGGAGACCCACTTGTGACCCCAGTCAAGTCACACTCTCTCAGCCTCAGAGGAAGGCAAATGCGAATACACTCTGTAGAAATCTTGCTGAGCAAGGCGATAAGAGAAGAGTCAGCTCAAAATCCCCTAACAACAACATCAAGGATCTGAGGGTGGAGCGCAACAAAATCAAATTTATCGCTTTTTTTTAAAGGAAATAATTTAAATACATTATATTCACATTTAAAACCAACTTCAGCACTAGAGGATCTCGACAATCACCAAGGCCTGTCGATGTAATAAAAAAGCTACACATGAGTCCATGGAAAGGCAAGGCTTCATGTGCCTTTAGGTGTTTGAGTGGTGAAGGAAAGGGGAACCAGTCCGCTGTTGACACGCTAAGAGGTTGTTCCTGAAACCGAGGGTTTCTGCCCTTAGCTGACAGTAATAAGATCAACAGATAAAGAGCTTGTCTCCTGAGGATGTTGTCTGCCAGTTCCAAATGCAACACAACACAAATGCAAGTGACTAATGCAACACAAGCATTGGGAAATGCTGAAATTTCACCCTTGAAAAGACCCTTTGGTGGGGGAAATGTCTGCAAATAACAACACGAGCCTAGAAATTGTACAGGGTGCAGCAGCATAACTTCCTTTTTTCAAAACTTAATAAAACCCATTGTATGAATCGGAATTTTTTTTTATAATGTAGGCACATACTTAAAGTTTTGTTTTACGTAGTTTTGAAAATCCAATGAGGTAGGTGACGTCCCCCATTCTCCATCCACTGAGTAAACCGATTTCTGGCATTTGTCCTGACTCTTGCCAGCATAGCAGGCATTATGTTGGCAATGTCTTCCTGGATGTTGGTTTTCAAATCTTGTAGGGTCCTTGGACAGTTCACATAAACACGGGATTTCAAAAAACCCATAGAAAGAAATCACAAGGGGTCAAATCTGGAGAGCGGGCCGGCTACTCCAAATCCCCCCTAATTGAGATGAAGTGTTCCCTCAAAACAGCCATCGATGCTCTTGAAGTGTGTGCAGTTGCGCCGTCTTGTTGGAACCAAGTGTCCCCTAAGTCCTACCCATCTAGCCATAGGAAAATAAATTCCTGTCACGTTTACATCCCGGTCCGAATTCACTGTAACTGCGCCTTCATTTTCCTCAATTATTATTATTATTATTATTATTATTATTATTATTATTATTATTATTATTATCTTAATTTGTACCCCGCTAGCATCTCCCGAAGGACCCGATGTGGCTTACAAAGGCCAAGGCCTCAATACAAAAATAGCATAACAAATACACAACTTAAAGCAAATCAAAAACAATTAAAGCAATATCAGAACAACAAAAACACTACAGCAGAACACGATAAAACTAGGGCCAGGCCAAATGTAATGGGTACAGATTAAAAGTGCTGGGTGTGAAGGGTGGTATGTGCAGTGTGCAAGCAATCTTAAACTCTAATAAAGTGCTTCTGGGACATATTACTGGAGTTTTCCTATTCTGGAAAGGCACATCGAACAGCCAGGTCTTCAAGTTCTTCCTAAAGACTGCCAACGTAGGGGCCTGTCTGATGTCTTTGGGGAGGGTGTTCCAAAGTCAGGGGGCTACCACAGAAAAGGCCCTGTCTCGTGTCCCCACCAAACGCGCCTGTGACGCAGATGGAATTGCAAGCAGGGCCTCTCCGGATGAACGAAGAGAACACGTGGCTTCATAAACGGAGATGCAGCCACGCAGGTAGGCTGGTCCCAAACTGTTTAGGGCACCTGCATCTTGAATTGGGCTCGGAAAATAAACGGCAGCCAATGGAGCTCCTTAAACAGGAGAGTTGACCTCTCTCTGTAAGGAGCACCAGTTAACATCCTGGCTGCCGCCCGTTGGACCAGTTGAAATTTCCGAGCCGTTTTCAAGGGCAGCCTCACGTAGAGCGCATTACAGTAGTCCAATTTAGAGGTGATTGGACTCAAAGAACCAGGGACCAAGAATTCCAGCTGAGGAAACTGCACACCACACTGTGATTTGAGGTGAATGCAAAGGCCTTGGATGCAATTCCCAAGGATTGTTGTGAGCCCAGTAGAACATATTTTCTTTGTTGACAAATCCACACAAATGAAAATGGGCTTCATCACTAAAAAAAACAAGAGCGTCCTCAGAGAAGAACCTCACATGCGTTCCTCTGAGAACTGAAGTCACATTCAGAAAGTTCCTGCACAATCGCCATCTTGTAAGGATGGAAATGAAGATCATCATGAAGAATTCTCCTCACAGAACGATCGGAAAGTCCAAGGGCAGGCGCATGTTTGCGTAGAACGCTGTGGTGATTGCAACATTGAAGCTCTCACCGGCCCTATGTTCTCAGGTGATCTCTGTCAGGATTAATTTAGTTATATATGTGTTTTCAAATGTGTTTCTATGTAATTTCAAGATGGAGTCTACTGTGTGTTAGAAATTGCTATGCAGAATGTTCATGAGGCTGTGATAAAGCAACCTTGGGAGAAATGAGATAATGTATGTCCTGGCTGGGAACAAAAGGGAGTCACCCGCCTCTGCCAGAGTGAAGAGAGATAAGCAGCTGTGCAGAGAGACTTTTGTTTTCCACTAGTTCCTGTTTGTAGCTCGCTGTGTTAAGACGTGTGTTTGATGTACTTAGTAAAACTTCGGGTTTTTGTAACTGAAAGACTGCAGAGTCCTTATTTCGCATACAGTGTCTGCTGATCTAGCAATCCTTCCACTGACAAACGTAAATACTCTGACAATCTCATGGGCCGAGGGACTCCAGTTCTTCGTCTTGCTGCACTTGCAGTTTGTCTGAATGTATTGACCCACGTCACAATTGATTTCCGGTCCGGGATGGGGGCCAATGGGGCTAAATTAAAGCAATTCCGAAAGGCGCGCTGGGTTGCGATCATCCGATCAAAAAGTAGGCCTCAACGGCAAAAGCACGCTCCTCACTGTTCCAACGCATGATGGCGACTGAACTGTGTCAGGACAAAACTTTATACTCCTGCCTCTCGAACGAGACCACTAGCGCTCCACTACGTCTTCAACCTTTAAAAAAGGAAGTTATGCTACCGCACCCTGTATTAGAAAGCCATGAACGAGTATCAAGAATTGTTGTGTTTAACCATGAGGAGGATACTTACGTGTCAGAGGTCAGTGACGTCACGCTCTCCACATGCCCACCGGCCAAGATGATGCTTTTTTCATTCAAGCGGTTAACTATTTGGTTCAGAAACCGCGTGGCTCCAGACTTCCAGGTGTTGTACCCAAACAGAAGGACCACTCTTAGGTCGGGGTTATTCTTTAGACCTAATAAAACACAGGAGAAGTGAATATGCAGAAGGTAAGCTATGGAATGCTAATTTTAATTTTTTTTGCCACAAAAAGGGAAACAAATAAGCCACCCTTGCATCTTCAACTGCTATATCACGCTCCTCTAAGCAGCCCTCTTCAACCTGCAGCCTTTGGACTCCAACTCCCAGAAGACCTAGCCAGCTTGTCCAAGGGCCAGAAATTCTAGGAGCTGAAGTCCAAAACATCTTGAGGGCCACAGGTCAAAGAGGCCTGCCCTACAATAAGTCTTCATGAGAACCACTCTGCCTTTGATGTTTACTATGCTTGCCTATGCTATGCTATTAGGGCTATGCTTGCCTAATAATAATAATAATAATAATAATAATAATAATAATAATAATACAACATCACACAGTCCTAGACGCTTGGGAAGTGTTTGACTTGTGATTTTGCGATATGAAATCCAGCATACAGATCTCGTTTGCTGTGACATACTGTGCTTTTGTGTCAGTAAAATAATAATAATAATAATAATAATAATAATAATAATAATAATAATAACAACAATAATAATACATGACACAGTCCTAGACGCTTGGGAAGTGTTCGACTTGTGGTTATGTGATATGAAATCCAGCATACAGATCTCGTTTGCTGTGGCATACTGTGCTTTTGCGTCAATAATAATAATAATAATAATAATCAACTTTATTTATATCCCGCCACCATCTCCCCAAAGGGGGCTCAGGGTGGCTAACATGAGGCTAAGCCCAAAGATACAACAAAATAAAATACAGAATACAGACAACAAAAAATTATGTAGAGTAGCAAAATAGGATAAATAAAACAAATTAACACACTATAAAATCGAACAGAATGGGCAGGCCAAATGGGAGGAGGTAAAATGATAAAACCCTGGATGAGGTAGGAAAGAAAATATGTAATTGTTTCAACTTACCAACAAAATCAGCTTAAAAACAAGCCTACAGACCCTATCTTGTTCATAACTTGGGGACTCATAAACTTGGGGTTTCTGCAAAGTCACCAAGAGTATGTTTTCTTATGTTTCGGACCTGCCAAACTTAACCAGCAGTGAACATTATATGTGTCAGAATGCACGAGGGCTGCAGCTCAGGAAGTAACCCAACTTCCTTGGCATTCAGGTAAACAACACACAAAGCCACACAGCCAAAGGATCTGAACTTTCACAACATGAAAAAAGGTCCAAAAACCCCCAAACCAAAACAAGTCGGACTAGTTGCCATTTGCAAGAGAGATGCTCCAAGAGGAACAACAAACCAATTATGCTCTTGAGCTCAGGCTGCCTGTTCCTTGAAGGCAAGGCTCTTGCCCTCATATTTTGTTTTGCCATTGCTGGGGGCAAGGGAGAGAGGAGGAGCCAAGAGATGCCCGGGAGGTCTCTTGCAAACGCCGCAACTTGCACGTAACCGAGAGCATCAACACCTGGGACAAATTGGGTCAACTTTTAAAAAGTATTTTGGAAGGCTCTGTAGCAAGAAGCATCATGGGAAGAGGAAGCCCGGGGATTGATAAAACTCTAGAATTGCTCCTGGTGACGAAAGATGCAGACAAAGGTAAATCAGACACTTTAAACCTTGCAGAGGACAAAGCAAAGGACAGCCACCTCCTTAGGCAGACGAGAAAGCAGCAATACAGAATTCAATCCTGTCCCCACCATACTGGATACCTTATACTCAAAACATCCTTGAAAAGTGCCGGGATGACTCTCCTGCTCTGGCACAAAGGGAACAATCCAAGAAGTCCCACAACATAACAACTCTCAAGAGCTTAACCTGCATATTCAGCACACAGAGCCAAGGTTGCTAATCTTTTTAACATTGTCCTACTGGGACCTTCCTGGTTGGCTCTGCATCTCATGGTGCCAGAGTGCATTTTGTCCAATGCCTTCCAGTTTTCTATGTGCCCAGGAGCGAGTCTCTCATTTGGTATCAGCCATTGGTTCTGGTCGTTTCTGCACTGCATCCTGTCAGATTCCCAAAATCTGAAGGAAAGCAAGAGTCAACGCCATCTTGAAGCCAGGCAAAGACCGTAATGATCCAAAAAGCTATAGACCAATCTCCCTGTTGTACCACCTCTACAGAGTTCTGGAGAGACTTATTTTGCATAGAATTATGGAAAAAATAGACCCATGTCTGATTCCACAGCAAGCTGGCTTCAGGAAAGACAAAAGCCGCACATCGCAAGTGCTGAACCTGACTCAGCACATAGAAGATGGCTCTGAAAGGCAGCAGATCACAGGAGCTGTCTTCATAGACCTGTCAGCGGCTTACGATACTGTAAACCACCACCTCCTCCTGAGAAAAATGTATAATATCAAAAAGGATTACCACCTCACCCGCCTCATAGGAAACCTGCTACAAAACAGGAGCTTTTTTGTTGAGTTCTAGGGCCAGAGAAGCAGATAGCGGAAACAGAGGAACGGTCTGCCTCAGGGGAGCGTGCTTACTCCATCCATGTTCAACATTTACACAAATGACCAGCCACTGCCAGAAGGGACAGAGAGTTTTATCTATGCAGATGATAGTGCCATTACTGCTCAAGCAGGGAGCTTTGAGATGGTTGAACAGAAGCTCTCCGAAGCTCTAGGTGCTCTTACTGCCCATTACAGGGAAAACCAGCTGATCCCTACTCCATCTAAAACACAGACATGTGCTTTTTACCTTAAGAGCAGACAAGGTTCCCGAGCTCTGAGGATGACCTGGGAAGGAATCCCACTGGAGCATTGCAGCACACCCAAATACCTGGGAGTCACTCTGGACCGTGCTCTTACCTACAAGAAGCTCTGCCTGAATATCACGCAAAAAGTGTGCGCTAGAAATAATATTATACGAAAGCTGACTGGCACAACCTGGGGATCACAACCAGACACAGTGAAGACATCTGCCCCTGTGCTTTGCTACTCTGCTGCTGAGTACGCATGCCCAATGTGGAACACATCTCACCACGCTAAAACAGAAGATGTGGCTCTGAATGAGACATGCCGCATTATCACGGGTTGACTGCGCCCTACACCACTGGAGAAATTACACTGTTTAGCTGGTATTGCACCACCAGACATCCGCCAGGAAGTAGAAGCCAATAGTGAAAGGATCAAGGCAGTGAAATCTCCAGCTCATCCCCTATTTGGGTATCAGCCAGCACGTCAACGACTTAAATCAAGAAATAGTTTTCTAAGATCTACAGACACTCGCTGGAACACCCCAGCAAGCGAGAGTCCAAAAGTGGCAGGCTCAAACCCAGAATCTCAATCCACGGCTGATACCAAATGAGAGACTCCCTCCTGGGCACACAGAATTGGGAGACTTGGAAGGGGCTGAACAGACTGCGCTCTGGCACCACGAGATGCAGAGCCAACCTTAAGAAATGGGGCCACAAAGTGGAATCCATGACATGCGAGTGCGGAGAAGAGCAAACCACTGACCACCTGCTGCAATGCAACCTGAGCCCTGCCACATGCACAATGGAGGACCTTCTTATGGCAACACCAGAGGCACTCCAAGTAGCCAGACACTGGTCAAAGGACATTTAATCAACTACCAAGCTTGCAAACTTTGTGCTTTGTCTGTTTGTTTGTTTTGTTAAAAATGTAATACAACTGTCTAGTTGCTCCTGATACGATAAATACATAAATGGGGATTTTATGTGAGAAGTTTTGCCCGATTATATCAATGGTGGGGTTCAGAAACAATCAATCAAAACTTTATTTCTATCCCGCCACCATCTCCCCAATGGGGACTCGGAGCGGATTATTATTATTATTATTATTATTATTATTATTACTAGCCGTCCCCTGCCACGCATTGCTGTGGCCCAGTTTGTGTATATGTGTTTTGTGTGTGTATATATGTATGTGTGTATATGTGTATATATGTGGTTTTGCGCATGTGTTGTAATGCATTTTTGTTTTTTGGCTTTTTAAGTCTCTTCCACTGTGTTTTTCAGTGTTTTTGTGAGTGATGGTCGCTCGTTGGACTGATAGGTGTCTTGTGTCCAAATTTGGTGTCAATTCGTCCAGTGGTTTTTGAGTTATGTTAATCCCACAAACAAACAAACATTACATTTTTATTTATAGATGATGATGATGATTATTATTATTAAGGTGAAAAGCACACGTCTGTGTTTTAGATGGATTAGGGATCAGCTGGTTTTCCCTGTAATAGGCGGTAAGAGCACCTAGAGGTTCGGAGAGCTTCTGTTCAACCATCTCAAAGCTCCCTGCTTGAGCAGTAATGGCACGATCATCAGCATAGATGAAACTGTCTCTTCTGGCAGTGGCTGGTCATTTGTGTAAACGTTGAACATTGATGGAGCAAGCACGCTCCCCTGAGGCAGGCCATTCTTCAGAAATGGGGCCACAAAGTGGAGCCCACGACATGCAAATGGGAAGAAGAGGAAACCACAGACCACTTATTACAATGCAACCTGGGCCCTGCCACATGCACGATGGAGGACTGTCTTACAGCAACTCCAGAGGCACTCCAAATAGCCAGCTACTGGGCAAAGGTCATTTAATATAATGCCAAGTTTTCAAACTTTGTGGGTTTTTTGTTTGTTTGTTTTTAAATACATTACACCTGTACCCTTGGTTCACTCCTCATACAATAAAGAAAGAAATACTGGGGCCTTCCAACTGTTACTTGCCTGCCTCGGCGAATACACTTTCGTCAAGGACCCTGGTCTTCAAATCTTTGAAGAAGTGAAATGTCTGAATCTTCACTCCGTCGATCCTGGGGAACAGCAATGCAAAACCAGCTTCTCCATCTTCAATTTCCAGAGGCCGGTTGCTCCGGGCCCCAATTGGGGTGACTAAAGGGAGGAAAGGTTCATCTTAATATCGATTCTGCCTGCCCCCCCCCCCCACAAGATCAGTCATGGGAGTTCTTCAGTAAAGACATTCTCATTCTGCCCTGTAGGAAAAAGATCCCAGATCAGAGTAGCTTGAATATGAGTGAAGAGAGGGGCCAGGCTGACAGTTCCACCTTGTCTTCTGTTGTCATCAATTGGGAGCCCCTCCCCACAACACCAGCTGCTGCTCTGGGACCAGAGTGAAGAGAGGGACCAGGAATACAGCTCCATCTTGTCTCCTGTGTCAGCAGTTGGGAGCCCCTCCCCACAACACCAACTGCTGCTCTGGGACCAGAGTGAAGAGAGGGGCCAGGAAGACAGCTCCATCTTGTCTCCTGTGTCAGCAGTTGGGAGCCCCTCCCGCCAACACCAACTGCTGCTCTGGGACCAGAGTAAAGAGAGGGGCCAGGAATACAGCTCCAACTTGTCTCCTGTGTCATCAGTTGGGAGCCCCTCCCCACAACACCAACTGCTGCTCTGGGACCAGAGTGAAAAGAGGGGCCAGGAAGACAGCTCCATCTTGTCTCCTGTGTCATCAACTGGGAGCCCCTCCCCACAACACCAACTGCTGCTCTAGGACCAGAGTAAAGAGAGGGGCCAGGAAGACAGTTCCACCTTGTCTCCTGCACTGTGATAATATAATATAATATAATATAATATAATATAATATAATATAATATAATATAATATAATATAATATAATATAATATAATATAATATAATATATATACATATAATATCGATAATTAATCAGCTGAGGGGGGAAAGGAAAGGGCTTGAGGCTGTTAGGAATTGTGGGAGTTGAAGTTCCAAACACCTAGAGAGCCAAAATATGCCCATGCCTGCTTTAACGGTTGTAATTCCCATAACACATTACAAGTGGCACAGGCTTAACCTACAATGTAGAATTAAAGCAATTCGATACAACTTTGAATGCCATGGCTCAATGCTGTGGACTCCTGAGAACTGTCATTCTTGGGCCAGAATCCCTTCACTTCAATAATGTCTCCCCTTCAGATACACGGGCCAATGGATTTTAATGCATTTGTTTATTTATTGATATGTATACGCTGTCAGAAATATGTAATATTAACTATATATTTTTAATTACAAAAATGTGAGTCAAGAACTGAAAGGGTTAAATGGATGCAATGGCTCAGCAAAAGCTGTAGTTTTATATAAAAAGGAGTGTCTGTTGCTTAGTAGGCCTCAGTGTTAACAGACCTCAGTGAGAGAGCCCTCAGTTTGTAAGAGGTCTCTGTGGGAGAAGAACCTCAGTGTGTTAGCAGCCCTCAGTAGGAGAAGGTCTCAGTGTTATTTTTCCTCAGTGTGAGGTAGGCCTCAGTGCTAGTAAGCCTGTTTGAGAAGGCCTGGTATGAGAAGCTTCGGTGAGAGAAGCCCCAAGTTGAAGGCCATTGTGTGTGAAGCTCCAGAGGCTTCAGTGTTAGTAGGCCTCAGTTTGAGAAGGCCTGTTGTGGGAAGCTTCGGTAAGAGAATCCCCAAGTTGAAGGCCATTGTGTGTGAAGTTCCAGTGTGAAGGCTACTGTTTGTAAAAAGCTTCTGTGTGAAGCTCCTGTGTAAGATCGGTGTTAGAAGAGGCTCTGTAAGAGAAAAACTGTTTATCTGTGTTGGAGTTCAGCCTGTGTTTGGGTTTCAAGATCAAGGTGCTTCTGATGTGGGGAATGGGAGAAGAGCCTCTCTGTGAGAGAAGAGCCTCAGTGTGTTAGTAGCCCTCAGTATGAGAAGGCCTCAGTGTTATTTTGCCTCAGTGGAAGAAAAGCCTCAGTGTGAGGTAAGCCTCAGTGCTAGTAGGCTTTAGTTTGAGAAGGCCTGGTGTGGGAAGCTTCAGTGAGAGAAGCCCCAGGTTGAAGGCCATTGTGTATGAAGCTCCAGTGTGAAGGCTTCATACACAATGTTTGTAAAACATTGTAAAACATACTGTTTGTAAAAAGCTTCTGTGTGAAGCTCCTGTGTAAGTTCGTTGTCAGAAGAGGCTCTGTAAGAGAAAAACTGTTCATCTGTGTTGGAATTCAGCCTGTGTTTGTGTTTCAAGATCAAGGTGCTTCTGATGTGGGGAATGGGAGAAGAGCCTCAGTATGTTAGTAGCCCTCAGTATGAGAAGGCCTCAGTGTTATTTTGCCTCAGTGGAAGAAAACCTCAGTGTGAGGTAAGCCTCAGTGCTAGTAGGTCTCAGTTTGAGAAGGCCTGTTGTGGGAAGCTTCTGTGAGAGAAGCCCCAAGTTGAAGGCCATTGTGTGTGAAGCTCCAGTGTGAAGGCTACTGTTTGTAAAAAGCTTCTGTGTGAAGCTCCTGTGTAAGTTCGGTGTCAGAAGAGGCTCTGTAAGAGAAAAATTGTTTATCTGTGTTGGAGTTCAGCCTGTGTTTGCATTTCAGGATCACGGTGCTTCTAATGTGGGGAATGATTTCCCTGAGTGTCAAGATGGAGATGGTTTGGTCAATGATATTAATGCAGAGGATGACATAGAGCCACTGGTTCCAAGTGTAGTTTCCCATGAGAATGTTCCTACAGGGTATAGGGATGATAGTTTACTCCCTGACCCAGAGAGTTCCCAAGATTTGGGGTTTGAAAGCAACTTGATACCTGGAGAAAATAATGAGCAGATAGATAATGAGCGCATAGACAGACGGCTGGATTTTAGCCAAAACAGACAGCTCAGTCAAGGCCTCCGCTGTTCTACTAGGCTTCGAGAGATAAGGGCGAGAGGCAGTCAAGTAAAATGAAGCCGATTTCTGGGTGTTGGGATATAAAGTTCTCACTAGGGAAAAACTAGTTAGATGAAGCATCGTTTTAGAATCCTGCTAAGTCCTAGTTCTATGGAAGCCTTGACTGGAAGATTCATGTTAAGGATTTAACATGAATCACGGTTTGACTCTTTGTCTCTTGGGATTATATACTCACGCTGTGGATTAATGTTTTCCTGTTTCTTTGGATTTTATTACAAAAGCCTGAACTTTGCTTTTGAACTTTGCTGAACCCTGCCTTGAAATACTTTGTTCCTGCTTATCTTCCTACCTTATTTGGACTTATCTACTTTCTTAAAGCATATATATTTTTTATCTTGCTGTATTTAATTATCTTTAATTTGAAAAAAGGATTGTTTTCCTACTCAACATGTGGTGTTTTAAAGTCAGAAGGTTATTCCTGTTCCGGAGTGCAACAATCTGCATGAGAAAGAAGCCCAGCATGGAAGCAAAGAAGGAAGTGTAAAGAACCTTATTTGTGTTTATGGAAACCTTGTTCTTGTAAATAGTGCAACCATATTATTTTGCTATAAAGAAAAGCCTCCTATGGGAGAGATAACATTGGTCTGTGTGTTTTTGTTCTTTGTATCACTTCTGGCTACTGGTGCTGGGTCACGCTGCTGCTAATAAATTACTCTGCTATACGTTTATGAGGAGGGTATTTCGTTAATAAGCCCACTCGCCCAACATATGCGGCATTGAATTGTTGCCATTGTAAAGCTGCCCCGAGTCCCCTTCGGGGTGAGAAGAGTGTGGTATAAGCGTGGTAAATAAATAAATACGAGGGATATTTTTTATGTAAGGTCCATTTTGTTGTTGACACTAGTAGTTCGCGCGCATACTGCAACGAGCGCATTTGTCGTGTACTGGCATGCCTCGGGAACAACTGTGCTCTGTTTCTGCTCTGTAGCTAACCTGTACGGTTCTGTTTTGTGCTTTAAAAATGTTTAAGACTATCAACTCACCCGCCGCATATGAGGTTCGCTCAGTGATACAGTTCTTGTCAGCAAAGAACCTGCCTGCTGCAGAAATTCATCGACAGATTTGTGAAGTGTACGGTGATACTGTTATGAGTGAAAGCAAAGTGCGTAAGTGGGTATGACAATTCAAAGATGGCCGTGACAACGTCCATGATGAGGACCGCTCCGGTTGCCCTTCTTTAATTACAGAAGGCAATGAACTCTTGGTTATCGGAGCAGGCGGCAAGTTTTTATGAAGAGGGTATTTTAAAATTGGTTCAGAGGTATGATAAGTGTTTGAACAAACTTGGCAACTATGTCAAAAAAATAGAGTGAAGAATGTACTTTCTGAAAATAAATTTACTTTTTTGAAATAAACTTTCGTTGTGTACTTATGTTCCAACGGACCTTACTTAAAAAAATACCCCTCATACCTTAGTAGCCAAAGAGTTATTTTTGCCAAGCTCTGGAAGGGTGCTTTTAACACAACTGTGCGTATTTACATTGTCAAGAAATGCTAATCCAAATTGGATAGGGTGCTCTCTTATCTCAAGTCCGGAGGAGGGCGACTAAAATCATCAAGGGTCTGGAGAACAAGCCCTATGCGGACCAACTTAAGGAGCTGAGCATGTTTAGCCTGAAGAAGAGAAAGCTGAGAGGAGATTTGATAGCCATGTATAAGTATGTGAGAGGAAGTCACAGGGAGGAGGGAGCAAGCTTGTTTTCTGCCTCCTTGGAGACTAGGACAAGGAACAATGGCTTCAAACTACAAGAGAGGAGATTCCATCTGAACATGAGGAAGAACTTCCTGACTGTGAGCCGTTCAGCAGTGGAACTCTCTGCCCCGGAGTGTGGTGGAGGTTCCTTCTTTGGAGGCTTTTAAACAGAGGCTGGATGGCCATCTGTCAGGGGTGATTTGAATGCAATATTCCTGCTTCTTGGCAGGGGGTTGGACTGGATGGCCCATGAGGTCTCTTCCAACTTTTTGATTCTATGATTCTATAAGTAGGCAAAGGGAATAATTTGAAAGGGAAATCATTCCAGTATTATTATTGTTTGCCCCAATGTATTCCTGTATTTTTTCTCTTACCTACAACTCCAGGTGTCACCAGTCCAAGAACTTGGCAGCGGCTGGGCAACAGCTTTTCTAGCGCAGCTGCTATTTCCTTGCTGTTTCTTCTGCGAGCTGCAAGTTCCAAAGAAAAACAATTAGTTTCGGTTCGCACAGGTTCAATGATACCATTGGGAGCAGCTGTCAGTTCAAGATATTGTAAATGGCGGCTGCAATAAGCACCGAGTTGCCACAGGAGTAAGCTACGCTGCTCCAAAGCCACACATTAATGGTTGAGCAGATGGTCTTCATTTCTCCAGGGCAGTTTTCCAGGAATTTAAAAAACAGGCACCATGTTGTTATGGCGGGCTTCCCACAGGACTGGAAATGAACATTTGTTGTGGGAAATGTAACACAACCTGATAGTTTTTCCAAGATTTTTGGCCAATTGCACCCTCTCAGCCTCACAGGAAGAGCAACTACACCTCTAAATGTATTTTGCCAAGAAAAATAGGCTCGTGAAAGCTTGCCATAAGTTTGGAGGCACAAAACAACATCAATAATAATAATAATAATTTATTTAGATTCCACACTATCTCCCTGGAGGGACTTGGGGCGGATTCCAAACATAAAAGGCAAACATTCAATGCCTGAACACAACAATACAGAATTTGGCAACCCAACATATAAAAACAAATTATGACTTAACAACTAAAATTAAATTAAAAACGTAGCCTATTCTATCAGACATAAGACAAAACATCAAACATCGAACGTAAGCATAAATTTCCCAGTTCCTTGGGGGCATATAGATTGATTGATCATTGCTCAAGACATCTACCGAGATGGTGGGACGAATATATTGTATATGTATATACAATAATATATTGTGTGTGTGTGTGTGTGTGTATAGGTAAAGGTAGTCTCCTGACATTAAGTCCAGTCATGTCTGATTCTGGGGTGTGGTGCTCATCTCCATTTCTAAGCCAAAGAGTCCGAAGACACCTCCAAGGTCATGTGGCTGGCATGACTGCATGGAGCGCCGTTACCTTCCCGCCGGAGCAGTACCTATTGATCTACTCACATTTGCATGTTTTCGAACTGCTAGGTTGGCAGAAGCTAGGGCTGACAGTGGAAGCTCACGCCGCTCCCCGGAATCGAACCTGCGACCTTTCAATCAACAAGCTTAGCAGCTCAGTGCTTTAACCCACTGCGCCACCGGGGGCTCTGTGTGTGTGTGTGTGTATATATATATTACTAATAAAATATAATTGTATATTATATATTACATGTAATATTACTAATAATATTGCAGAATAGTGGTATAGTACAATATAGTAATATATAATACCAATATTGTGCTATGTTAATATAATATATTGTATGTACATATAATATTGATCATAATATTATAATACAATATAATACTAATAAGAATATAGTAATTATATATTACATGTAATATTACTAATATCATTGCATTATAGTGGTGTAGTACAATATAGAAATATATAACAGTAATATTGTGTCATGCCAATATAATATATTAGGCTTGGGCAATCCATGGTTCTAAATGGTTCTAAAGTACTTACAAAACTAAAGTTCTGGTGGTGAAAATTTCAGAACTCTAACAAAACTTTCAAAATGTAATTATTATTTCATTATTGGCGATTTTTATGACAGAACCAATTAGGAACTGCCATTTATAATGAAATTTTGAGAGTTTTGTTAGAGTTTTGAAATTTTCATCACCAGAACTTTAGTTTTGTAAGTACTTTAGAACCATTTAGAACCATGGATTGCCCAAGCCTATAATATATTGTATGTACATATAATATTGATCATAACATTATAATATAATACAACATAATACTAATAATTATTATTATATATTATATATTACATGTAATATTACTAATAACATTGCATTATAGTGGTGAAGTACAATATAGTAATATATAATACTAATATTGTGCTATGCTAATAATGTAATATAATGTATATACATATAACTAAGTTGTTCTGAGTCCCCTTTGGGGAGAGAGAGGGTGGGGCATAAAAATATTAAATCAATCAATCAATAAACAAACAACAACAACCCAGCAGAGTAATGTTCTTTGAAGGATGAACAGTATTTACCTTTCTTTTGGCCATGGCCATGGCTTTCTTCATGTCCAGTGAAAGTCTCTGCATCTGCTATATACAACACGGTCTGGGGGAGGACTTGAACCTTCTGTAAAATGAAAGTTCAGTGTGACGAGGACAGATCCTGGGAACTGCCCATAAAGGAGCTTCCACTTCATGGGAAAAGCAAAGACAAATGCAAACGTAAATAGCTTGTCGTCCTTTTGGGTCACATAAGGATGAGTTAACACCCCTGTGGAGTTTGTTTTGCTGTCTGTGCCCCTGTTCAGAGGATTTCCCCTCACGTATTTATTTATTTATCTATTTATGACATTTATATCCTGCCCTTCTCACCCCAAAGGGGACTCAGGGTTGCTTACATGAGTAGCATTATTCCATGCCCAAACAACAATAATTAAAAGCAAAAGAGATATTGACAAGCCTGCTTTCACATATTTATACATGGCTATCATGTCTCCTCTCAGCCTTCTCTTCTGCAGGCTGGACATATTCAGTTCTTTACGACGCTCCCCATAGAGATTCATTGTCTCCAGACTTTGATCATGGCTGGATGTCCATCTGTCAGGGTTTTTTTATTGTGCTTTTCCTGCGTGGTAGGGAGTTGGACTGGGTGGCCCATGTAATCTCTTCCAACTCTATTATTCTATGACTAGCCGTCCCCTGCCACACGTTGATGTGGCCCAGTCTGTGGATATATGTTTTGTGTGTATTTGTGTATGCATATATATATGGTTTTGTGTATGCGTTATTTTTTTTTTGCTTTTAAAGTATCTTCTGCTGTGGTTTTCAGTGTTTTTATGAGTAATGGTCACTCATTGGCCAGATATGTGTATTGTGCCCAAATTTGGTGTCAATTCGTCCAGTGGTTTTTGAGTTATGTTAATCACACAAACAAGCATGACATTTTTATTTATATACTAGCCATCCCCTGCCACGCATTGCTGTGGCCCACATGGGGGTTCTGTGTAGGAGGTTTGGCCCAATTCTATTGTTGGTGGGATTCAGAATGCTCTGTGATTGTATGTGAACTATAAATCCCAGCAACTACAACTCCCAAATGTCAAGATTCTATTTTCCCCAAACTCCACCAGTGTTCACATTTGGGCATATTGAGTATTCGTGTAGAGTTTGGTCCAAGTCCATCATTCTTTAGAGTCCACAGTGCTCTCTGGATGTAGGTGAACTACAACTCCAAAACCAAAGGACACTGCCCACCAAACTCTTCCAGTATTTTCTGTTGGTCATTGCTGGTGAGGTTCAGAATGCTCTTTGATTGTAGGTGAACTATAAATCCTGGCAACTACAACTCCCAAGTGACAAAATCATTTTTTTTTTAGTGAAGAACATGCATTGGGTTGTTAGGTGTCTTGTGTCCAAATTTGGTGTCAATTCCCCCAGTTGTTTTTGAGTTCTGTTAATCCTACAAATGAACATTACATTTTTATTTAGATAGACTAGCTGTCCCCTGCCACATGTTGCTGTGGCGTAGTCTGTGTATATGTGTTTTGTGTGTATATGTGTGTGTATATATTTGTGTGTTTGAGCGTTTGCGTATATATGTGTGGTTTTGCACATGCGTTGTAACGTATTTTTTTTTAAAAAATGGCTTTTAAGTCTCTTTTGCTGTGCTTTTCAGTGTTTCTATGAGTGATGGTCACTTGTTGGCCTTATAGGTGTCTTGTGTCCAAATTTGGTGTCAATTCATCCAGTGGATTTTGAGTTAAACTATAAATCCCAGCAACGACAATTCCCAAATGACAAAATCGATTTTTTTTAGTGAAGGACATACATTGGGTTGTTAGGTGTCCAAATTTCAGTGTTTCTATGAGTGATGGTCACTCGTTGGCCTTATAGGTGTCTTGTGTCCAAATTTGGTGTCAATTTCCCCAGTGGTTTTTGAGTTCTGTTAATCCCACAAATGAACATTACATCTTTATTTATATAGATTCTAATTAGAACAAAATGTGCTGCAGCATGTCCATCCCACAAAAACAAAGTTTGGGCAGCTTCATAATTTTTCCCATGTTTGTTATGACAGAGACAATTAGGAAATGAGATTTGTAACCCAGCAACAAAAACCGTATTACATAGTGTTATCCCAGGCCTCCTCAACTCCCAAAAGCTCTTGCCAGCTTGTGTAATGGTCAGGAATTCTGGGAACTGGAGGCCGAAGCAGCGGGAGAGCTGCACTTTGAGGAGGCCTGGATTCTAACCCACTCACCTCCAGCTCCTCGGCCAAGGCGTGGACCAATGCGTGGCTGTTGGGGGGCCCTGGCTCCACGGTGGAGACCCAGGCGAGGCTCTGCTGGTTCCTCAGGATCCTGCGGGAACACTCTCTCCACAACCGACATACACTGGAACACAAAAGGCACCCATCAGTCTCCGCCCTGTGCAGCATGTAATAATAATCATAATCATAATAAAACTTTATTTATACCCCGCCACCATCTCCCCAAGGGACTCGGAGCGGCTTACATGAGGCCAAGCCCAACAACACATCAAAAATAACAAGCAATAAGCAAAATAAACAATACAATTAATATAACTCACAAGTAGACAATGAACACAAGAATTTAAAAACCTATGGCTGGGCCAAATGTAATAGTTAAAATTTTAAAAATAAATGCTGGACAGGAACAGAGGATGTATCTATTTGGAGGGTATTAAATCAAAAGTAAAGAGCAACCCAATGGGTAATTAAAGTGCTTCACAGAGTATTTGCAGGGGATTGTTTCCTTTCTTCAGGGAAGGCACACTGGAAGAGCCACATTTTCAGGCTCCTCCTAAAGACTGCCAATGTGGGGGCTTGTCTGATATCCTTGGGAGTGAGTTCCAGAGTCGGGGAGCCACCATAGAGAAGGCCCTCTCCCTTGTCCCCACCAATTGCACCTGCAAGAGCAGGGCCTCCCCAGATGAACGGAGAGATCGTGTGGGTTCGTTCACAGCTTAGATAGGAAACAGTGGCTTTGTTTTTATAATCATGCATCAGGGATCAGCACTCTCACCACTACTATTCATACTCTGCGTGGACACTGCTACAGCAGATTTGCAGACTATGCATCCCTGGGACATTACTATATGCAGATCACATAGCACTCGGCCACATATAATATTTATGATATTATAATGTAATGTAATATAATAATACGATATTATAATTATATGGGTTGTTGTAGGTTTTTCCGGGCTATATGGCCAACCTACAACAACCCATGGATGAAAAGCCTTCGACAATACATTATAATTATATATTTATATTACATGTAATATTACTAATATTATTATGATATAGTGGTATGGCATCTTCCCACCCCTAGAATGGCTAAATCCCATGGTTCCTCCCTGTTGGGCTCCTTTCCTACAAATGCACTTTTATCACTATCTCACCCAGGGTTTTAACTTTTTACCATTTTACCTCATACATTTGGCCAGCCCTCTGTGTCTGGTTTTACTATGCTGTTTTATATTGTTGAATTTGTTATGCTGTATTTTGTCATTGTGTGTTTATTAAGTTGTATTATTTTGGGCTTGGACACGTTAGCCGCACCGAGTCCCCTTTGGGGAGATGATGGCGGGTTATAAATAAAGTGTAGTATTATTATTATTATTATTATTATTATTATTATTATTATTATTATGGTGCAATATATATGTTTAATGATGATACTGTACTATGCTAATAATATCATATATTGTATGTAATATATACCTTGTAACCCGCTGTGAGTCTGAGTGTTTACAAATGCAGAATAAACGACATAAAGGAAATTGAATGACTTGACGATGGAACTGGACAATGCTTGATAATAAGGAGACGCTAATGATGCTGTTATTATTATTGTTGTTTTATACTGTTTTGATGTTTTAACTTGTTTTATGATATTATCTGTACTGTTTTGTTGGAAACCGCCTTGAGTCGCCGATCGGCTGAGAAAGGTGTTATACAAAAACAGTAAATAATATTTTTTTTGTCTTGTCAGGAGCAACTTGAGAAACTGCAAGTCGCTTCTGGTGTGAGAGAATTGGTCGTCTGCAAGGACGTTGCCCAGGGGACGCCCGGATGTTTTGGCCATCCTTGTGGGAGGCTTCTCTCATGTCCCCACATGAGGAGCTGGAGCTGATAGAGGGTGCTCATCTGCCTCTCCCCGGATTCGAACCTGCGACCTGTCGGTCTTCAGTCCTGACTGCACAGGGGTTTAACCCACTGCACCACCGGGGGCTCCTAGTAAATAAATAATAAATAAATAAATATAAATGTCATAAATAAATCTATATAAATAAAAATATAATGTTCGTTTGTGGGATTAACAGAACTCAAAAACCACTGGGGGAATTGACACCAGATTTGAACACAAGACACCTAACAACCCAATGTATGCCCTTCACTTATAAAAACACTAAAAAACATAGCAGAAGGGACTTAAAAAGCTCCAAAAAGCTAAATGACGAAAAGCTAAATGACAATACAGAAAAAAGGGAAGAAAGAGGGAAGGAAGTGGAGAAAAGAAAGAAAGAAAGAAAGAAAAGAAAGAGGGAGGGAAAAAAAGAAGGAAAGGGAGAAGGAAGCATGGAAGCAAAGAGAGAAGGAAGGAAGGAAAGAAGGAAGAAAAGAGAGACGTAGCGAACCTGGATTTCAGTAAGGCCTTCGACAAGGTCCCCCATGACCTTCTGGCAAGGAAACTAGTCCAATGTGGGCTAGGCAAAACTACGGTGAGGTGGATCTGTAATTGGTTAAATGGACGAACCCAGAGGGTGATTCTCCCCAAGGCTTCCTCTTCATTCTGGAAAGAAGTGCCATCCGCAGCGTTCTGTCCTGGGCCCGGTCCTATTCAACATCTTTATGAATGACTTAGATGAAGGGTTAGAAGGCAGGATCATCAAGTTTGCAGACGACACCAAATTGGGAGGGAGAGCCAATACTCCAGAGGACAGGAGCAGGATTCAAAACCGTCTTGACAGATTAGAGAGATGACTGGCCAAAACTAACAAAATGAAGTTCAACAGGGACAAATGCAAGATACTCCACTTAGGCAGAAAAAACGAAATGCAAAGATACAGAATGGGGGACGCCTGGCTCGAGAGCAGTACGTGTGAAAAAGATCTTGGAGTTCTTGTGGACAACAAGTTAAACATGAGCCAACAATGTGATGTGGCGGCAAAAAAAGCCAATGGGATTTTGGCCTGCATCAATAGGAGCATAGTGTCTAGATCTAGGGAAGTCATGCTACCCCTCTATTCTGCTTTGGTTAGACCACACCTGGAATATTGTGTCCAATTCTGGGCACCACAATTCAAGAGAGATATTGACAAGCTGGAATGTGTCCAGAGGAGGGCGACTAAAATGATAAAGTGTCTGGAGAACAAGCCCTATGAGGAGCGGCTTAAGGAGCTGGGCATGTTTAGCCTGAAGAAGAGAAGGCTGAGAGGAGATATGATAGCCATGTATAAATATGTGAGAGGAAGCCACAGGGAGGAGGGAGCAAGCTTGTTTTCTGCTTCCCTGGAGACTAGGACGCGGAACAATGGCTTCAAACTACAAGAGAGGAGATTCCATCTGAACATGAGGAAAAACTTCCTGACTGTGAGAGCCGTTCAGCAGTGGAACTCTCTGCCCCGGAGTGTGGTGGAGGCTCCTTCTTTGGAAGCTTTTAAACAGAGGCTGGATGGCCATCTGTCAGGGGTGATTTGAACATGATTTTCCTGCATCTTGACAGAATGGGGTTGGACTGGGTGGCCCTTGAGGTCTCTTCCAACTCTTTGATTCTATGACAGCAGAAGAGAAAGAAAAGGGGGGAAGGAAGGAAGGAGGGAAAGAAGGAGAGAAAGAGGGAAGGTTGGCCACAGCAACGCGTGGCGGGTACAGCTAGTAAATAAATAATAATACAGGGAGCAATGATGGGAGGAGGGGACCCATTCTGTAATGTCTGGGGAAGCAAAAGAAGTCCTGTGTCAGAGGCCCTCCAAGACTGCCCTATAACTCAGAATATCAAGGACGAAAATACCACAAACTCTGCTTTGAACTGGGTTGTCTAAGTCCACACTACCATATATCCCAGTTCAAAGCAAATAATGTGGGATTTTATTCAGCTGTGTGGAAGGAGCCGCTTGTTTAGCCTCCTCCCCTGCCTCAAAGCGCCTCGAGGCTCCAGAGTCAGGAGTAGGCCTCAAGCCTCGGCCTCGCTTGCTGTCGCCCGCCCAGGGAAAGCGGCGACGGCGGAGGAAGCCCTGGCCACTCACCAGGCCGCCCTCAGCAGCGCCTTGGCGGGCAGGAAGCCCAGGACGCGCTCCACCACCTCCGCCAAGCTGCTCAGCACGAGCACGCCGCCGCCTCCTTCTCCTCCTGCGCAGGCCTCCATCGCCCACCAAATGCACAGGCCTTCCCCGTTGCCCCGGCAACCGTTCCCGGAAGCGGAAGGCCGCGCCTGCGCAATGCGTCCCGCCTCCTCGTGATGCACACCAACGGGGGCGTGACTTAGAGCTCACGAGGCGGGATTGGTTCCTTCCCAAGCCCTGCCTCTTGGACTTCATTTCCCAGCAGCCCTTGCGGGGCTTGGCTTTTGTTGAGGTTGAGTCCCCGTGGGGAGAGAGGAGGGCAGAATACAAACAAAGCCTTCTTATTTTAATACATTATTATTATTATTCTAATAATATAATATAATATAATATTGTATATACATATAATATTTAGAATATTATGTAATGCAATATAATAATAAGATAAAATAAAAATAAGATATTATTTTAATACATTATTATTATTCTAATAATAATAATAGTGTGCTATTCTAATAATATAATGTAATATAATATAGTATAGTCTATATTGTATATGCATATATTTATAATGTAATGTAATGCAATATAATACTAATATTAAGATAAAATATTTTAATACATTATTATTATTCTAATAATAATAATAGTGTGCTATTCTAATAATATAATGTAATATAATATAGTATAGTCTATATTGTATATACATATATTTATAATGTAATGTAATGCAATATAATACTAATATTAAGATAAAATAAGATATTATTTTAATACATTATTATTCTAATAATAATAGTGTGCTATTCTAATAATATAATGTAATATAATATATTCTATATTGTATATACACATAATATTTATATTATAATGTAATGCAATATAATATTAAGATAAAATAATAAGGTATTATTTTAATACATTATTATTATTATTATTATTCTAATAATAATAATAGTGTGCTATTCTAATAATATAATGTAATATAATATAGAGCCCCCGGTGGCGCAGTGGGTTAAAGCACTGAGCTGCTGAGCTTGTTGATCGAAAGGTCGCAGGTTCGATTCCGGGGAGCGGCGTGAGCTTCCGCTGTCAGCCCTAGCTTCTGCCAACCTAGCAGTTCGAAAACATGCAAATGTGAGTAGATCAATAGGTACCGCTCCAGCAGGAAGGTAAGGGCGCTCCTTGCAGTCATGCCGGCCACATGACCTTGGAGGTGTCTATGGACAACGCCGGCTCTTCGGCTTAGAAATGGAGATGAGCACCACACCCCAGAGTCAGACATGACTGGACTTAATGTCAGGGGACTACCTTTACCTTTACTAATATAATATAATATATTCTATATTGTATATACACATATTTATATTATAATGGTATGCAATATAATAATATTAAGATAAAATAAGGTATTATTTTAATACATTATTATTATTCTAATAATAGTGTGCTATTCTAATAATATAATGTAATATATGTATATTCTATACGTAATATTTATAATATTATAATGTAATGCAATATAATAATAAGATAAAATAATAATAAGGTTTTAATACATTATTATTATTCTAATAATTTTTTTTGCTGTTTCAGGAGCGACTTGAGAAACTGCAAGTTGTTTCTGGTGTGAGAGAATTGGTCGTCTGCAAGGACATTGCCCAGGGTGTTTTGATCTTTTACCATCCTTGTGGGAGGCTTCTCTCATGTCCCCGCATGAGGAGCTGGAGCTGATAGAGGGAGCTCATCCATGCTCTCCCCGGATTCGAACCTGCAACCTGTGGGTCTTCAGTCCTACTGGCACAGGGTTTTAACCCTCTGCGCCACAAGAGGCTCCTATTCTAATAATAATAATAATAATGTGCTATTCTAATAATATAATGTAATATAATATATTCTATATTGTATATACATATAATATTTGTAATATTATAATGTAATGCAATATAATCTATATAAATAAAAATGTAATGTTTGTTTGTGGGATTAACAGAACTCAAAAACCACTGGACGAATTGACACCAAATTTGGACACAAGACACCTAACAACCCAATGTATGTCCCTCACTCAAAAATATTGATTTTGTCATTTGGGAGTTGTAGTTGCTGGGATTTATAGTTCACCTACAATCAAAGAGCATTCTGAACCCCACCAACGATGGAATTGAACCAAAATTAGCACACAGTCCTCCCATGACCAACAGAAAATACTGGAAGGGTTTGGTGGGCACTGTCCTTTGGTTTTGGAGCTGTCGTTCACCTACATCCAGAGATCACTCTGGACTCAAATAATGATGGATCTGGACCAAACTCTACACGAATACTCAATATGCCCAAATGTGAACACTGGTAGATTTTGGGGAAAATAGAATCTTGACATATGGGAGTTGTAGTTGCTGGGATTTATAGTTCACCTACAATCACAGAGCATTCTGAACCCCACCAACGATAGAATTGGGCCAAACCTCCCACACAGAATCCCCATGTAGGCCACAGCAACACATGGCAGGGGACGGCTAGTACTACTAATAATATATTATAATTATATATTTTATATTGCATGTAATATTACTAGGCAAAACGTCAGGAGAGAATGCTTCTGGAACATGCCCAGACGGCCCAGAAAACTCACAGCAACCCAGTGATTCCATCCATGAAAGCCTTTGACAATACAATAATTCACAGTAATGTACATTGGATGATTTTGGTTCCTCTCTCTGTGGTCATTAATCAGGATTGGACTTCAGCTTTTCACAGTTGACAGGTCTAACTCTGAGCATACTTTTCCTCATCTCCAAAACATCAGCCACATTAATATTTTTAAAAAATACCATACCAAGCAATCAAAAGCAGACACTCTCCAGAGAAAAACAGAATTCTTAATTCTTTATTCATAAACTTGATGCAAGTTTACAGATTGACCGTACACTGCTAAATAATTCTGCAATGAAAATGAAACTCGATAGAAGGAAGGAAGGAAGGGAAAAAAGAAAAACGCAAGCCGAGTGTGCACCCGTGGTTCTGCGTAGTCATTAGGAGACGAAAGGATCCCGTAAAGCACTCCAGGAGTTTTCTCGCCTCAGCTGTAGAAACGCAAGACTTGGCTTCTGACTTAAGGCTGCTCGAGAAGGGGTTTAGGGAGGAATCGTATGTACAACCAAATACGTGAGAAATTGGGGGGGGGGGGGTGGTGGAGAGAAATGTCATCTCTATCTCACCTCTAAAAGACTGCACATTTTTAGGCCAAATATTCTCATTTTCTGGATTTTTTTTGAAATAATAATAATGATAGAACAGGACATGAGACCGAATGGCCCGAAGCCAAAAAGAAAAAGAAAACACATTTATTTACTTATGTAAAGGGGCCAGAGCGAGCCAAGAAGAATCCGGACTTCTACCAAACACAAATGTGTAGACCAGGCAAGGGCACATTTGGGCCCTCTGGGTGTTTTGGACTCCAACTCCCACCATTCCTGGCAGCCTCAGGCCCCTTCTTTTCCCGTCAGCCGCTTAAGCACTGAGCTATTGACTGCAGTCACAAGATTTAGAAAAAGTCCTGCATACAAAACTGCCATTCAAGCAAACATCCAGGCTGACCTAACATTGGTTTTGGGCCCAACACTCAGCTTAAGCGGCTGAGAGGGAAAAAGGAAAGGGCCTGAGGCTGTTAGGAATGGTGGGAGTTGAAGGCCAAAACATCTGGAGGGTCCAACTTTGCCCATGCCTGGTCTACACACTGACTTAACCATGGTTATGGGCCCAGCACTCAGGTTAAGTGGTTGTGGGGGGAAAGGAAAGGGCCTGAGGCTGTTAGGAATGGTGGAAGTTGGAGTCCAAAACATCTGGAGGGCCCAACTTTGCCCATGCCTTGTCTACATACTGACCTAACATTGGTTATGGGCCCAGAACTCAGCTTAAGAGACTGGAAGTCCCAAGTTTGCCCATTCCTGGTCTACACACTGATTTAACCATGGTTATGGGCCTAGCACTCAGCTTAAGAGACTGGAAGCGCCAAGTTTGCCCATTCCTGGTCTACACACTGACCCCAAAATTGATTATGGGCCTAGTACTCAGCTTAAGCGGCCGAGGGAGAAAAGGAAAGGGCCTGAGGCTGTTAGGAATGGTGGGAGTTGAAGGCCAAATATCTGGAGGGCCCAACTTTGCCCATGCCTGGTCTACACACTGACTTAACCATGGTTATGGGCCCAGCACTCAGGTTAAGTGGTTGTGGGGGAAAAGGAAGGGGCCTGAGGCTGTTAGAAATGGTGGAAGTTGGAGTCCAAAACATCTGGAGGGCCCAGCTTTGCCCATGCCTGGTCTACACACTGACCTAACATTGGTTATGGGCCCAGCACTCAGCTTAAGCGACTGGAAGCCCCAAGTTTGCCCATTCCTGGTCTACACACTGACCGCAAAATTATGGGACCAGCACTCAGTTTAAGCAGATGAGGGGGGAAAGGAAAGGGCCCAAGGCTGTTAGGAATGGTGGAATTTGAAGTCCAAAACATCTGAAGGACCCAACTTTGCCCATGCCTGGTCTACACACTGACCTAACATTGGTTATGGGCCCAGCACTCAGCTTAAGAGACTGGAAGCCCCAAGTCTGCCCATTCCTGGTCTACACACCGACTTAACCATGGTAATGGGCCCAGCACTCAGCTTAAGTGGTTGTGGGGGGAAAGGAAAGGGGCTGAGGCTGTTAAAAATGGTGGAAGTTGGGAATCCAAAACATCTGGAGGGAGGGCCCAACTTTGCCCATGCCTAGTCTACACACTGATCTAACATTGGGTATGGGCCCAGCACTCAGCTTAAGCGGCTGACGTGGAAAAGGAAAGGGCCTGAGGCTGTTAGGAATGGTGGAATTTGAAGTCCAAAGCATCTGAAGGGCCCAACTTTGCCCATGCCTGGTCTACACACTGACCTAACATTGGTTATGGGCCCAGCACTCAGCTTAAGCAGCTGAGGGGGGAAAGGAAGGGGCCTGAGGCTGTGAGGAATGGTGAAACTTGAAGTCCAAAACATCTGGAAGGTCCACATTTACACATGCCTGGTGTGGACTCTTCTTTTGATCCTCGTGGACACAAAAGCTCTACACACAAATTCAACCACCAAAATGTAAATACCACACCTGATTCTGTTTTTTTTTTTTGGAAAGGTAAGGCAATGACATGACAGTGACCAACCCACAGCAGTGACAGAACCAGACTCCTAAAGAAAAAGAACGATACCCCCTCAATTTTATTTCCCCCCAACTAAAACCATGGTCATGACGATGGCAACGTTCCCGTTCCAAACAATGCTGAATTGAGAGAGTTACCTGGTAAGACTTCTGACGGTTGCATTTCTCTCAAACTGTGCAACCTCCCCTTTAAGAAAGGGCTTCTTTGTTGATTCTGGGGGAGGCCTGGGTGACTTCTTCTGCCAATGGCTCTTTCCAGTCTTTAGTCCACAAGTGATTGCAACAACCCGTCAACAGATTCGAATGCCAAGTATTTTAAATATCTTCAAGCCTTGAGAAGGAGGGCTTCTTCGAGCAAAGGAGCGAGCGGAGGAGAACAGCAAGCGCCGATATCCGAGCGGATCATATCCCACACAGTTCAACGGGCGCTGTCTGGCGTCCAGCGACAAGGTGACCGAAAGGGGCTTCTGTCCAGCAAGAGTTCATATCCTGAACACAGCCATGGAGGGGGGAAAAGAGTTTAATGATTCGACATTACACTTCTCCTATAGATCGTCGTTACATTTGGCAACCTTTACAAACGCTTTCGATTTTCAGCCAGGAAAATAAGAATAACACACCCATTGAACAAGACCTGGAGGAAAAAAAAACCCACCTCTGTATTATCAACCTAAATTTATTTAACTCAGTCAGCTTTAAATAAAAGGTATTGCCCTTCTCCGCAGCGTGGAGGAAAAACAAAGAGTTAAGTGCATACAAAAGTTGGCAGAGGAAAGTTCCTATTCACGGATGCTTTGACAAACTGGAAGCCGGGTTTCGAAGGCGTTGCCGTCGCGTTGGATCCCGAAAGGAGAATACAGCAAAGTCTTCTCGAACGGGTCAGTCCGCAACGCCGGGCGTTGGAGCAGAACTGCACGGCTGCTGCGTGTCCTGGACGCGCCAGGCCACAGTTTATCCATTCATTGTCTATTAACTAGAGTCTTCATTATGGCTGTTATGGGGCATTCATAGCTTGAGTCTGTGTTGGAAGGACTTTTTAAAAAAATGACATTGGTCCAAGGAGAGAAGAAGTCCACAGAATTAACCGTCTTCTTTTGGAGGCGTGAACCAGCCTAAAGGGAAGCACGGAAGAGGATTATTTATTTATTTTTATTATTTATTTCGAACATTTCTACCCTGCCCTTCTCAACCCCTGGGGGGACTCAGGGTGGCTTGCAATTGGCAATAATTCAATGCCGATCATAAAATACAGAATACAGAATAACAAATATAGCAATTCACATGAACATTAATAAATACTTACACTTTGATTAGCTATTGCCCGTCTGGTGGCTGTTTAGCTAGCCATCTGCTAATGAATACTTCGCTTAACTTATCCAAATCCTATTCCATGCCATAGTCAACATTATCGATTGTCCTTTAACCTGATTGCCCGAAGGCCTGGTCCCACAGCCACGTTTTAACCTTTTTTCTAAAGGCGAAGAGGGATGACGGTGACCTAATTTCCCCCGGGAGCAAATTCCACCACCGAGAAGGCCCTGTCCCTCATCCCCACCAAGTGTATTTGAGACACAGGCGGGGCCGAGAGCAGGGCCTCTCCAGACGTTCTTAAGTTCCGAGGTGGGACGTAGAAGGAGATGCGTGATCGCATCTCTGTATACGAACCCACACTATCCCTTCGATTATCCGGGGAGGCCCTGCTCTCGATCCCACCAGCATCGCAGGCGCGATTGGTGGGGACAAGAGAGAGGGCCTTTTCGGTGGTGGCCCCTCGACTCTGGAACTCACTCCCTAAAGACATCAGACAGGCTCCAACTTTGACAGTTTTCAGGAGGAACTTGAAGATGCGGCTGTTCCAGTGTGCCTTCCCATAGCACTTTGACGCCATAGCACTTTGTCCTCCAAAGCACTTTACATTTCTTTAGGTCTGCTCGTATGCCCTTCCACAAACACCAGTATCACGTTCCGTTCATGTCCCAGCATTATTTCCAATTTTAACCTAACATTTGGCCTTCCCACTGTTTTTAATTATGTGTTGTCTTATTGATAATGTTGTTTCTTATTGTCTATGTGTTTTTAATTGCTTTTGTTGTTGTGATTATTGCTTGTATTGTTGTGTTTGGGCTTGGCCTCATGTAAGCCGCACTGAGTTGCTTGGGGAGATGGTAGCGGGGTACAAATAAAGATGATGATGATGATGATTATTATTATTATGTTCGGACAGGTACCCTGGACCGGAGCCGTATAGGATTAGGCAAAGACACATGTGCAAGAAAATACAGACTCTAGATCAGTGGTTCTCAACCTTCCTCATGCCGCGACCCCTTAATTCAAATCAAATCAAATTTGTTTGCTACTTCATAACTGTATTTTTGCTACTGTTATGAATCGTCATGTAAATATCTGATATGCAGTTACAAATTGAACATAAATAAGCATAGTGATTACTCACAAAAACAATATGTAATAGTGATGTCAAACACTATTATGTAAATTTTTGTAAGTCTCTTTAGAATAATATCAATGTCGTATACTGAACAGTGCTGACAACGATAATTGCCGACCAAATTGGACCTAGTCAAAAATCTGTATCTCCTGAGGAAAACAAATTCTCAAGTGTATAACTTTGTAAGTACTTAAATGTGTTGTAACACATGGTGTTTAATGGATATGTTCAAGAAATATTGTTGTAATAACAAGTGTGAAGACTTAACAAATTTCTTTGAGTACATTTTAGTATAAGATGTTCTATATGTATTCAACTGGAGCAAAATATTGATTTATACATTAACTAGCTGTACCCTGCCACGCGTTGCTGTGGCCTATAGTAAATCTTTTCAAAGTAGAGGTAGATATCTGGAGTATTATGAAAGAGAGGTACCTACCTATTCCTTCCCCCTTTTTCTCCCCCTTTCTCTCCTTTCTTCCTTCTCTACCTCTTTCTTTCTTTCTTTCTTTCTTTCTTTCTTTCTTTCTTTCTTTCCTTCCTTCCTTCCTTCTTTCGCTCCTTGGTTTCATCCTTCTCTCTTGCCTTCATTCCCTCCCCCTTTCTTCCTTTGCCTCCTTTCTTCATGTTTCCTTCCTTCTTTCATTTTTTATTTCATTTTCTCCTTCCTTCTTTACCTCTTTCCTGTTTTTCCTTCCTTTTATTTTTCTTTCCTTTCTACTTTCTCTTCTTCCTTCCTTCGGTACCTCTTTCTTTCCTGCCTTCCCTCCTTCCTTCTTCCTTCCCATTGCTTACCAAACCCTTCTCGTGCTTTATGTTGGGTCTTGGGAGTCCTGTGTGCCACGTTTGGTTTAATTCCATCGTTGGTGGAGTTCAGAATGCTTTGATTATAGGTAAACTATAAATCCCAGCAGCTTCAACGGAGGGGGGTGGGAGGAGGAGGAGTGCAGGGGCGGGGGTCGGTGGGTGGGTGGGTGGGTGGTCAGCAAGGGGGGTGGAGGAGGAGGAGTGCAGGGGCGGCGTCGGTGGGTGTGGGCGGGGCTTCGGAGGGGGGTGGGAGGAGGAGGAGGAGTGCAGGGGCGGGGGCGTTGGGGGTGTGGGGGGGGCTTCGGAGGGGGGTGGGAGGCGATGCTTCAGCGGAGGGGGTGGGAGGAGGAGTGCAGGGGTGGGGCGTCGGTGGGTGTGGGTGGGGCTTCAGCGGAGGGGGGTGGGAGGAGGAGGAGGAGTGCAGGGGCGGGGCGCCGGTGGGTGTGGGCGGGGCTTCAGCGGAGGGGGGGGGGAGGGGGAATGGAGGGGTGGGGCGTCGGTGGGTGTGGCGGGGCTTCAGCGGAGGGGGGTGGGAGGAGGAAGAGTGCAGGGGTGGGGCGTCGGTGGGTGTGGGCGGGGCTTCAGCGGAGGGGGGTGGGAGGAGGAGGAGGAGTGCAGGGGCGTCGCGTCGGTGGGTGTGGGCGGGGCTTCGGCAGAGGGGGGGAGGGAGATGCAGAGGGTGCGTTGGCCATTTGGCCATGTGTGCGCGCCGGGCGCTTTGCGCCATTGCGCATGTTTAGCTGTTTTGTCCTTTTGTGAGTGTGTTGTTGTATTGTTTTTTATTTTGATTTGATTTGTTTGTACCTTGTGGGTTGAGGTATGTGCATGGGAATTTTGGTTAATTTTCGTTGGAGGGGTTTTGAGTTTTGCTGTCCCGTTGGATGCCCCTTACAGATTTATATATACAGATTTCAGTCCACCAGAAGAAGGCCTGAAGTACGGCCGAAACCGGTCGTGTACGGCTGATCTATAAGCTACTCAACATAAGAAGATACAACATTGAAATTATTCTAAAGAGACTGTACCAAAATTTACATAATAGTGTTTGACATCACTGTGAAATTGAACAGTACAATATGTCGATATAACTGCTTGTTGAATTCCATTATTGTTTTGATATTATCCTAAAGAGACTGTACCAAAATTTACACAATATTGTTTGACATCACTGTGAAATTGAACAGTACAACATGTCTATATAACTGCTTGTTGAATTCTATTATTGTTTACTCTGTATATAAGTGGTATTTTTGTTGTATATAACAATTCAATGCCCCAAATATACAACAGATAAAACAACAGTTAAATAATAAGTAAACAATAAATTAGATTAAAAAGAATTTAGAATAGTACAAATAGTTCAAGTTCAACAATCAACAACTTAATCCAAAGCCAGTCCACAGTCTGTTTTCCACTGCATTGTCATCACTGCAATGGAAAGAGAGTGCGGATGAGCTCCCTCTGTCAGCTCCAGCTTCCCATGCAAAGCAGACATGAAAGAAGCCTCCCCCTAAAGCATCATGGCGTTCCCTGAGCAATGTCCTTGCAATAAGCTCATCAATCTTGATATTAAACCTTGGTAAGTAACTGGATTTGCAACAAATGTTAGGTACAACTACTGAATTTCCAATACTCAATGCCTCCACTTGGATAGAACCAAAGGGGACATGAGAGAAGCCTCCCACGAGGATGGTAAACCAGATTGTGAGCAACTGCACATACCAGGATATTTCATATATACCAGTATATATGCAACCAGGATATTTAAATCACAGGGTGGCTTTGGGTGTGCTTTTCGGCCTCTCTTCTCTTTGCAATACTTACAAAACTACGTGCTTTACCATACATACCATACATACCATTTTTTTCATGTAACTGTACTAGGGATTTATAGGACTGCTGTGCTCTTGCTAGGTTATATTGGTTCTGGAAGAAAAAAAATTCAGTTTACATATTTGTCCAAACCATGGCAGAAATAATGCGGATAATGGGAACTGCTGGAGCAGGTCTGGGCAAACTCTAAAGCAGGCCTGGGCAAACTTGGGCCCTCCAGGTGTTTTGGACTCCAACTCCCACAATTCCTAACAGCCTACCTGGAGGGCCCAAGTTCACCTAGGCCTGTCATATAAAAAAGATATTTTTATATGACACGTGTTGCTGTGGCCAACCTTCCCTCCCTCTTTCTCTTCTTCTTTCCTTCCTTCCCTTTTTCTTTCCTTCTCTTCTTCCTTCCTTCTCTACCTCTTTCCTTCCTCCCTTTTTCTTTTCCTTCCTTTTCTCTTCTTTCTTCCTTCTCTACTTCTTTCCTTCCTTGGCTTTTTGATTCTATCCTTCCCTCCCTCTTTCTCTCCTTCCTTCCTTTTCTCTACCTCTTTCCCTCCTTCCATTGCTCCCTTTCCTTCTCTCCTTCCTTCCCTCCATCCATCTCTACCTCTTTTTCCTTCCCTTTTCTTTTCCTCTTTTTCTCCTTTCTTCCTTCTCTACCCCTTCCTTCCTTTGCTTTTTGCTTCCATCCTTCCTTCTGTCTTTCCTTCCCTACCTCTTTCCCTCCTTCCATCGCTCCCTTTCCTTCCTTCTCTATCTCTTTCTTTCCTTCCCCCTTTTCTTTTCCTTTCTCTTTTCTTCCTTCTCTGCCACTTTCCTTCCTTCCTTTGCTTTTTGCTTCCATTCTTCTTTCTGTCTTTCCTTCCCTCCCTCTTTCTCTTCCTCCCTTCTCTACCTCTTTCCCTCCTTCCATTGCTCCCTTTCCTTCCTTTCTTTCATTCTCTCCTTCCTTCCTTCTCTACCTCTTTCCTTCCTCTCTCTTTCTTTTCCTTCCCTTTCTCTCCTTTCTTCCTTCTCTACCTCTTTCCTTCCTTTGCTTTTTGCTTCCGTCTTTCCTTCCCTCCCTCTTTCTCTCCTCTCTTCCTTCTCTACCTCTTTCTTTTCTTCTCCCTTTTCTTTTCATTTCTCTCCTTTCTTCCTTCTCTACCTCTTTCCCTTCTTCCATCGCTCCCTTTCCTTCCCTTCTTCCTTCCTTCCCTACCTTTCTTTCCTTCCCTTTTCCTCTTTCTCTCCTTCCTTCTCTACCTCTTTTCCTCCTTCCATTGCTCCCTTTCCTTCTCTCCTTCCTTCTCTACCTCTTTCTTGCCTTCACCTTTTTTTCTTTTCCTTTCTCCCCTTTCTTCCTTCTTTACCTCTTTCCTTACTTCCTTTGCTTTTTGCTTCCACCCTTTCTTCTGTCTTTCCTTCCCTCCCTCTTTCTCTCCCTTCTTCCTTCTCTCCCTCTTTCTTTCCTTTTTTTTTCTTTCCTCCTCTCCTTCCTTCTGTACCCCTTTCTTTCCTTCCTCCCTTTTCCTCTTTCTCTCCTTCCTTCTCTACCTCTTTCCTACCTCCCTTCCTTCCCTCTTCCTTCCCTTTTTTCTGTATAATCATTTAGCTTTTGGGGTTTTTTAAGTCCTTTCCACTGTTTTTGGGGGGCAGTTATGAGTGGTGGTCACTCATTGGTCTTTTAGGTGTGTAGTGTCCAAATTTTGTGTCATTTTGTCCAGTGGCTTTTGAGTTCTGTTTATCCCACAAGTGAACGTGACCTTTTCATGTTTAGAGAAACACAAATGGGTTACCTTATTTGCTCCAAACTGGACTCTGGCTTTGCCTTTGACGAGCGTGGCATTGATCTGCATTATGACCGATTCCGTGGAGTAGGCGCTACTCCAACCCTGGAGAGGGAGAAAAAACGAGAATTGTGACACATATTCTCAGCCCAATAGGTGATTCAAAGATGTATTCTCCATGTCAAGCCAAACAATTTGAATTCACGTCCTAACTTATTTGCGGGGGGCACAATCCCCAAGAGAGGCGGAGTAGGAGAAGCAAAGCCAATCTGTACATACTTCCAAACGTTGGATGAAAAGCAACAGAACATATTTCTACCGTAGTCTCTGCAAACTTAAATCAAGAACTTTTGGCCGGCATCAAGAGGAGCCTAGTGCCTCGATCCAGGAAGTTATGCTACCCATGAGCTATTCTGCCTTGGTTGGACCACACCTGGAATATTGTGTCCAATTCTAGGCACCACAATTGAAGAGAGATATTGACAAGAAGAGAAGAGCAAACCACCTGCTGCAATGTGGCAACCTGGGCCTTGCCACATGCACAATGGAGGACCTTCTCACAGCCACACCAGAGGCACTCCAAGTGGTCAGCTTCTGGTCAAAGGACATTTAGCATAAGTAATATGAAATCATGGAACCACTTGATGACGCAATTGAATAATGACTTGACATGGAGACACTCATGATAATGTTTTGACAATGACTGGAACGGCGATTCGACGGACGAGACTGTTTTAATGATTGTTTTATTGCTCATGGATGTATTTTTTAATGTAATTTATGTCTAATTGTAGCGTATAATTGTAATTGTTTGTACTGGCATTGAATTTTTGCCATTACTTATGTGTAAACCGCTTTGAGTCCCCCTCGGGGTGAGAAAAGCGGTATACAAATACTGTAAATAAATAAAATAAATAAATTTTTGTACAGTTTTTTATATTCTTATATTGTATGCTAATGTTTGTAACAGTATTTTATTATTGTTTTACTTGTTATAATTGTTGAGGCATCAAATTGTTGCCAATTGTGAACCACTCCAAGTCACCTCTAGGCTGAGAGGGGCGGCATATAAATATGGCAAATAAATAAATAAATAACTTTGTTTGTGATTTTAAATATGTTACAACTGCACCCTGAATTCGCTTCTGACATGATAAATAAATAAGTTACCTGTTTAGTAAGAAGTTCCATGCATAATGCACCTCCACCCAGAACATACCTATGGGACAGAAAGAGATGCTGAGACCACCTTCTGAAAGAATGCACGTTTTCTTTGTATAGCTTTGCTACAACCCACAAACTCTGTATATCGAGGGATGGCACAGTGCTGACAAAGACAGAAGATCTCATGCTGGGTTGCAGTGAGTTTTCTGGGCTGTCTGGCCACATTCCAGAAGCATTCTCTGCTGACATTTCACCCACATTTATGGCAGGCATCCTCAGAGGTTGAGAGGGTGAAATGTCAGGAGACAATGCTTCTGGAACATGGCCAGACAGCCTGGAAAACTCACAACAACCCAATCAGGAGGCAGCTTGCTAAACACTAAAGCCACTAAGTTAATTAAACAACAACACAACCGCTGAGGATGCCTGCTTTAGATGTGGGCAAAACATCAGGAGAGAATGCTTCTGGAGCATGGCCAGACAGCCTAGAAAACTTAAAACAACCCAATCAGGAGGCAGCTTGCTAAACACTAAAGCCACTAAATTAATTAAACAACAACACAACCTCTGAGGATGCCTGCCATAGATGTGGGCAAAACGTCAGGAGAGAATGCTTCTGGAGCATGGCCAGACATCCCAGAATACTCACAGCAACCCAATCAGGAGGCAGCTTGCTAAACACTAAAGCCACTAAGTTAATTAAACAACACCACAACCTGTGAGGATGCCTGCCATAGATGTGGGCAAAACATCAGGAGAGAATGCTTCTGGAGCATGGCCATGTAGGTAGGTAGTCCCCTGACATTAAGTCCAGTCATGTCTGATTCTGGGGTGTGGTGCTCATCTCCATTTCTAAGCCGAAGAGCCAGCGTTGTCCGTAGACACCTCCAAGGTCATGTGGCCGGCATGACTGCATGGAGCGCCCTTACCTTCCCGCCGGAGCGGTACCTATTGATCTACTCACATTTGCATGTTTTCCAACTGCTAGGTTGGCAGAAGCTAAGGCTGACAGCGGAAGCTCAAGCCGCTCCCCGGAATCGAACCTGCGACCTTTCGATCAACAAGCTCAGCAGCTCAGTGGTTTAACCCACTGCGACACTGGGGGCTCCCTGAGCATGGCCAGACAGCCTGGAAAACTCACAGCAACCCAATCAGGAGGCAGCTTGCTAAACACTAAAGCCACTAAGTTAATTAAACAACAACACAACCTCTGAGGATGCCTGCCGTAGATGTGGTCAAAATGTCAGGAGAGAATGCTTCTGGAGCATGGCCAGGCAGCCTGGAAAACTCACAGCAATCCAATCAAGAGGCAGCTTGCTAAACACTAAAGCCACTAAATTAACTGAACAACAACACAACCTCTGAGGATGCCTGCCAGAGATGTGGGCAAAATGTCAGCCTGGAAAACTCACAGCAACCCAACAACGGAGACGGATACTCACCCTCCAGTAAGCACAGGAGAAACAACTCTTACAAATGGAGGATCAAAGGGGAAATTATCCTAAAACAAGCAGAGAAAGAAGTCACACCTTTTGACAAATGTGATTCCCAACCAGAGGTCAAACACTGTATTAATTCTGGAACCACACATTCCTCCCAATCCCCAGCAGACCATGAAATATATCTAAGCCCTGGGCACAAAGCATTTCACCCAGACTCTTCGGCATTTATGTGCTGATTGCAAAATAAATACCGTTTCGCCTTCTTACCTTAAAAGAGAAGTTGAGCAGAATATATTCGATGCCTTCTTTTTCTTTTAAGACTTGGAGATCACTATGTAGTGGGCTGTCGGGATCAACCCTAGACATGGGGGGAGGAGAAAGGGAGGAAGCAGAAGAGCCCAAGTCATTCAGACATTACTTTTTGCAAAACAATACCCTACTAGGTGAGAGAGAGAAAAGTCAGGGGTTTGCAGGGCGATGTTCCGCCTGAGCTCTGCAAGTGCAGCTTTTTTCCTAATGAAGCAGAGTGTGTTTGAGGACTCGGACACCCATAGGGTACCAAGGTGCTTGTTGATAAAGCTATTGTCCTCCAAACCCTGTCATATGCCTATGAAACGTGGACTGTCTACAGGCGTCAACATTGAGATTGAAATACAACAACACCTGAGCTCTGCGAGTGCAGCTTTTTTCCAAGTGAAGCAGAGAGTGTTCGAGGACCGGGACATCCGTAGGGATACCAAAGTGCTTGTTTATAAAGCTATTGTCCTCCAAACCCTGCCATACGCCTGTGAAACGTGGACTGTCTACAAGCGTCAACATTGAGACTGAAATTCAACACCGCCTGAGCTCTGTGAGTGCAACTTTTTTTTTTACTTTTTTTATTTGTAAGCCACTCTGAGTCCGCTTCGGGGTGGGAAGATTGGCATAGAAATTTCTTAAATAAATAAATAAATAAAACTATAAATGTGATAAAACATAATAGACTAAAATAATGTAAATGCAATAATAATAATAAATAAAGTAAAATAATAAAGATAATAAAATTAAGAAGAAGTTCATCATTTTTTTTGGAAAAAGAACAAATAAAAATTATTTTAAAATAGGAATAAAAGATAGACCTTCCAGACAAAGATAGAGTAGGTTTTAGATCAACTTACAATTTAATATTAAAATGTAACATAAAGAAGACAAATGTTCACTTGAGGTATCTGGAGGTTAGAGGGGAAGTGGTATATTTGTGGGTTTATGTACTGTGTTATAGTTGAATGATATGCATACGATGTAACCAAGTGTGTATGTCATATATATGTACAAATATGTGTGTGCAAATGTGCATACATATTGAACATATATAGTACATATATATGTGTGTTTTTATTGTTTCTTTTTTCTCTTTTGTTTTTGTTTGTTTGTTAGAGTTGTCATACTTGTCACTTTGTCATGTAAGTTAAATGTCTTTATTTTAAAAAATCCTAATAAATAAATAAATAAATGTGATAAAACATAATAGAGTAAAATAATGTAAATGAAATAATAATAATAAATAAAGTAAAATAATAAACGTAATAAAATTATTAATAATAACAGAGTAAAATAATAAATAATTTTGACTCTAGTATAAGCCGAGGGGGGCTTTTTCAGCCTAAAAAAGGGCTGAAAAACTCAGTTTATACTTAAGTATATACGGTACTCTTTGAATCTCCCAGCCAATGCAGTCATGATGGTTAGAGACCAATCTGGAAGTTGGAGCCCAAAAGGATTAGTTTACGTGACAAAAGCCACTTCTAGGTCTGCTTTAAGTGTGCAAAAAATAAAAAAAAATAAAAATCAGCTTGAATTCTCAAAGGACAAAAATTGGAAGGAGAGAAACCCAATTCCAAGCAACACAACTGTCATGCCTGGATTTGCTTTCATTGTATTGGCAGAGTGTTAACACACAGAGAAATATACATGTCTTTGGAATATATGCACCAATTTAGAATATAAATTCCTCTTTCCCACTGGAAGAAATGCTTTGCCCACAGTGATAACTATCACTGGCAGTTTACCTCCTCCCCAAAAAAGTCTACTTCAAAAATAAATAATGCAGAAGCCAATCATCCACCAAAAAGTTAAGGAAATACACAACGTTCTTTGGTGCAAAGATCACCCTTTAGGGCCCATGCCATTTATACAAAAGGAGCTAAAATCAAGGATTCAGGACACAAGCCTTGAGAAGAATGTGAACTTACTTTAGAAGTTTTACGTGCCATTCATACAAACTGTCATTTACGAGTTCCACTGAGTAAATCCCTACGGAAGACAGAAACAGCGCTTGATGAGACTCCTGCCAGAAAACAAACACTCTTTTTTTTCCCCAAGATGATAATTCGGAGCCTTAAGGGATTCACACATGAAGGAATTCTCCACAAGCAGAAATGTCTGAGCCAACATTTTCGCCCCCAAGTTCTCCCACTTTTTTCATAAGAAGGATGGGAAGGAGGAAGGAAAGACAGAAGGAAGAAAGGAAGGATAAAAGGGAAGAAGGGAAGGATTGAAGGAGTAAGAGGGTGAGAGAGAAAGAAGGAAGAAGGAAGGAGAGAAGGAAGGAAAGACAAAAAGGAAGGAAGGAAGGGAAGGGTGGAAGAAAAGAGAGAAAGAAGGAAGGATGGATGGATGAAAGGGAGGAAGGGAAGGATTGAAGGAGAAAGGGAGAGAGGGAAGGAGGGAAGAGGGTAGAAAGGACGAAAGGGAAGGATTGAAGGAGTAAGAGGGTGAGAGAGAGAAAAGGAGGGAGGAAAGAGGGAAGGAAGGACGAAAGGGAGGAAGGGAAGGATTGAAAGAGTAAGAAGGTGAGAGAGAAAGAAGGAAGAAGGAAAGAGAGAAGGAAGGAAAGCAAAAAGGAAGGAAGGGAAGGAGGAAGAAAAGAGAGAAGGAAGGGAGGGAGGGAGAGAAGGATGGAAGGAAGGGAAGGAGGAAGGAAAGAAGGGAGGAAGGATGGACAAAAGGGAGGAAGGGAAGAGTGGAAGGAGAAAGGGAGAGAGGGAAGAGGGAGGAAAGAAAGAAGGAAGGACGAAAGGGAGGATTGAAGGAGTAAGAGAGCAAGAGAGAAAGAAGGAAAAAGGAAAGAGAGAAGGAAGGAAAGACAAAAAGGAAGGGAGGGAGGGAAGGAGGAAGGAAAGAGAGAAGGAAGGGAGAGAAGAAAGGGTGGAAGGAAGGAGTGAGGGAAGGAGGGAAGAGGGAAGGAAGGACGAAAGGAAGGGAAGGACTGAAGGAGAAAGGGAGAGAGGGAAGGAGGGAAGAGGGAAGAAAGGACAAAAGGGAGGAAGGGAAGGATTGAAGGAGTAAGAAGGTGACAGAGAAAGAAGGAAGAAGGAAAGAGAAAAGGAAGGAAAGAAAAAAGGAAGGAAGGGAAGGAAGGAGGAAGAAAAGAGAGAAGGGAGGGAGGGAAGGATGGAAGGAAGGGAAGGAGGAAGGAAAGAAGGGAGGAAGGATGGACAAAAGGGAGGAAGGGAAGGGTGGAAGGAGAAAGGGAGAGAGGGAAGAGGGAGGAAAGAGGGAAGGAAGGACAAAAGGGAGAAAAGATTGAAGGAGTAAGAGAGTGTGAGAGAAAGAAGGAAAAAGGAAAGAGAGAAGGAAGGAAAGACAAAAAGGAAGGAAGGAAGGAAGGAAGGAAGGAAGGAAGGAAGGAAGGAAGGAAGGAAGGAAGGGAGGGAAGAGAGAAGGGAGGGAGGGAGGAAGAGAAGGATGGATGGATGGATGGATGGATGGGAGGGAGGGAGGGAGGGAGGGAGGGAGGGAAGGAAGGAAGGAAGGAAGGAAGGAAGGAAGGAAGGAGGAAGAGAGGAAGGAAGGACAAAGGGGGGAATGATGGAAGGAGAAAGGGAGAGAAGGAAGATGGGAGGAAAGAGGGAAGGAAGGAAGGATGAAAGGGAGAAAGGGTTGAAGGAGTAAGAGAGCGAGAGAAAGAAGGAAGAAGGAAAGAGAGAAGGAAGGAAAGACAAAAAGGGAGAAAGGGGGGAAGGAAAGGTGGAAGGAAAGAGAGAAGGAAGAAAGGACGAAAAGATAGAAGGGAAGGAAGGAAGGAAAGAGAAGAGGAGGGCCTGAGAAAAGAGCCCAAGTGGCCGCATCTGCCCCCTGGGCCTGGTTTTGACCATATCTATTCCAGAAGCATTCTCTCCTGACATTTCACCCATATCTATGGTAGGCATCCTCGGAGGTTGTGAGGTTTGTCTCCCACCCTGTACATTATTCCACAGATATATATAAACCCCACTTGGCTTGTTTCCAACAGACCTCCCAACCTCTGAGGATGCCTGCCATAGATGTGGGTGAAACGTCAGGAGAGAGTGCTTCTGGAACATAACCATGCAGCCTGGAAAACTCACAACAACCCAGTGATTCCGGCCAAATTGTTGTTGTTCTTTGGGCATGGAACAATGCCGCTAATGTAAGCCGCCCTGAGTGCCCTTCAGGGTGAGAAGAGCGGGATAGAAATGTCATAAATAAATAAATCAATAACAGATAAACAAACACTGTTTCTTTGCATAGTGTGCACTGAGGCCCCTAGATTTGGTAGTGGAAAATCACGACTGAAAAGGCCTTTCAATTCAATACAGAGGCTGCCCAAACCAAGCAATGCCCTTTCTTCCTCTGCTGGGCTATTTCAGGCAGAACGGGCAGTCAGATAATTGACCAGCCATGACAATCTATGGGAGGAAAACCGTATGTGATGGCTTATAAAACAAACATACAATTTCCTCGCCCATTTTCTTTCCTATGGCATGATCCTATTGAAACCGAAATCCTTGTCACAATTTGGTGTTTATTCACATTTTAGAGATCCAGGTGTTTGTTTACTACTATTCCATCTATTAAACTTGCAGAAAATGTAAATATTATTTAAATTTTAAAAGCAGTTTTGTGTATATGAATTTTTAAACGGCGTATAAGAGGAAGCAGAATGCTCTCAGCAAATGTATTAGGGCTGCTTAAATTAATTCTGTTTTAATATGTTTACAGTGCAAACTTATTCCAGATCTGTTCACAAATCCCAAAGGCAATACATATAGGCTCCCGTCCTTAATAATGCATACCGCAACGACTAGCCTATACCATTAAGGAGGTGCATCAGGCATATTTCCGCCCCATTACAAAAAGCGCAGAACACTTACCTGTTTTGTAACTCTGCGACCTATATATATCCCTGAGTTCTTTCATAAGTCGGTCTGAAGCTTGGACAGATCCAGAAACTGCGCCCTGAAAAGACACGACAAACTTGATTTTCTAGAAATTTTGAAGAAAGCTATTGAGACCATAAAAGGTCTCTTGTGAATTGGGTTGCTGGGAGTTTTACGGGCTGTGTGACCATATTCCAGAAGCATTCTCCCCTGACGTTTCCCCCACATCTATGGCAGGCATCCTCAGAGGTTGAGAGGTCTGCTGGAAACTAGGCAACTGAGGTCTATATATCTGTGGAATAAAGTCTACGGTGGGAGAAAGAACTCTTGTCTGTTAGAGGCAAGAGTGAATGTTGCAATTGATAACTGTAATTAGCACTGAATAGTCTTGCAGCTTCAAAGCCTGGCTGCTTCCTGTCTGGGGGAATCCTTTGTTGGGAGGTGATTAGTAGTAGTAGTCTATACATCCCGTATAGACTACTGCAACGCTCTCTACGTGGGGTTGCCTCTGAAGACTGCCCGGAAGCTGCAATTAGTCTAACGAGCGGCAGCCAGATTACTAACAGGAGCGGGGTACAGGGAGCATACGACTCCTCTGTTGCGCCAGCTCCACTGACTGCCAATTAGCTTCTGAGCACAATTCAAAGTGCTGGTGCTGACCTATAAATCCCTAAATGACTCCGGCCCAGTTTACCTGTCCAAACGTATTTTCCCCTATGAACCATCAAGGTTGTTAAGATCTTCTGGAGGGGCCCTGCTCTCGGTCCCACCTTCTTCGCAATCGTGTCTGGGGGGGACGAGGGACAGGGCCTTCTCGGTGGTGGCCCCTCAGCTCTGGAACTCTCTCCCGTTGGAGATTAGAACTGCCTCTTCTCTCCTGGTGAAAACTTGGCTCTGGAATTTGGCATTTGATGAGTGAGTCAATAACTCCTGACCACACGGACGAATGGCGATGAATTGTGACTTCGTTCTGACAACTTGGCCTTATGTAATTTTATGATTGTATTTTAATGTGTTAGTGTATTATGAGATGTGATGTTTTAAACTATTGTTTATGAATCTTTTGTTGTGAACCGGACTGAGTCCCTCTGCGGAGGTCGAGAAGTGCGGTATATAAAAGTTCTAAATAAACAAACAAATAAATAAATAATGATTAGCTGGCCCTGATTGTTTCCTGTCTGGATTTTCCGTTTTCTGAGTGTTTATTTACTACACTACACTTTTATCCCGCCCTTTTCAGCCCGAAGGAGACTCAGGGAGGAGTACAAGAAGGCAACAATTAGATGCCGAATATTTATTTATTTACTACGCTTTTAATTGCTCTTTATCGACTGTCCTGATTCTAGAATATGTATTCACTGTATATACTCGAGTATAAGCCTAGTTTTTCAGTCCTTTTTTTGGGCTGAAAAAGTCTCCCCTGGCTTATACTCGAGTCAATGTTATTTATTATTTTACTTTGTTATTGTTGTTATTATTATTATTACATTTATTATTTTACTCTATTGTTATTGTTACATTTATTATTTTACTCTATTATTACTATTATTACATTTATTATTTTACTCTATTTATTATTATTGGAGGACATGTAAGCATTGAAAAACATTTAACCCACTAATGCCTAAATTTATATAATTTTATTGGTATCTATTTTTATTTTGAAATTGACGAGTAGCTGCTGCATTTCCCACCTCGGCTTATACTTGAGTCAATACATTTTCCCAGTTTTTTTGTGGTAAAATTAGGTGCCTCGGCTTATATTTGGGTCGGCTTATACTCGAGTATATACAGTATTTATTTCTTTATTTACGGTATTTATATTCCGCCCTTCTCACCCTGCAGGGGACTCAGGGCGGATTACAATGTACATATACATGGCAAACATTCAATGCCATAGACACACAACATATATAGACAGACACACAGAGGCTATTTAACATTCCAGCTTCTGGCCACCAGGGGATCTGTTACTTAACTGTCTGTTTGTGACACAGATGAAGTACTTTCCTCATTCTTTACATACTTCCTGGAGATTTTTATGGCCTCGTAAATCAGTTAAATTATTTTCCCCACACACAACATATATAGACAGACACTCAGAGGCTATTTGACATTCCAGCTTCTGGCCACCAGGGGAGCTGTTGCTTCACTGTCCGTTTGTGACACTGATGAGGTACTTCCTCATTCTTTGCATACTTCCTGGAGATTTTTATGGCCTCGTAAATCAGTTAAATTAGCTTCCCCACACACAACATATATAGACAGACACTCAGAGGCTATTTAACATTCCAGCTTCTGGCACCAGGGGAGCTGTTGCTTCACTGTCTGTTTGTGACACTGATGAGGTACTTCCTCATTCTTTGCATACTTCCTGGAGATTTTTATGGCCTCGTAAATTAGTTAAATTTGCCTCCCCACATAAGTGGTACCTAAATTTCCTACTTGACAGATGTTACTGTCTTTTGGGCTGCAAAGGTCGACACCAAGCTACACAAATTGGTCAGACACTCACTCCGACCTGGGCTCGCTTCGAACTCATGGCCTTTTGGTCAGTAGTGATCTTAATGCAGGTGACTCCCAGCCAGCTTGCCCACAGTCCCGGTGCTGGTAGCCAGATTTCGTTCAGGAGGAAACCATGAAAATGAACAAAATCGGGCTACCAGTACAAAAAACCCTCTAAAATCAGGACAGTAAATAAACAGCAGAACTCAAAAACAGAGGCATTCCAAAGATATATAAACCCCACTTGCCTAGTTTCCAACAGACCCCACAACATCTGAGGATGCCTGCCATAAATGTGGGTGAAACATCAGGAGAGAATGCTTCTGGAACGTGCCCAGACAGCCCGGAACACTCACAGCAACCTACTGATTCCAGCGATGAAAGCCTTCAACAACACATTGAACACCTCCTTTGAATGTTAATGATAATTAGATTTGCTTTTCTGCGGGGGGGGGGGGGGGGGGGGGTGGTAGGCTGAGGTGCCCCCCCGAGGTTTTAATAATAATAATAATAATAATAATAATAATAATAATAATAATAATCTTTATTTATACCCCGCCACCATCTCCCCAATGGGGACTCGGGGCAGCGAAAATGAGGCCAAGCCCAAAAATATAATACAACACTATACAATACAGAATACAGAAAAATAAATCTACATCAGAAAATAATCACAATAGCAAAATAAAATAATAAAGCAAATTCACACAAAATAAAATCAAACAGGATGGGCAGGCCAAATGGACAAGATAAAATCCTAAAATAATAAAACCCTGGGTGAGGTAGGAATGAAAATATGTAGGTGAGGTTTTCTAGCATTCTAGCTTTTATTTACTTTATGAAGACTTACATTTAAGTGGTCCTGCCTTTGATTTTTCCGGATCTTTTCCAGAATGGCCAGATTCTCTTTCTCAATGCCATCATCCTCGGATTTCTTTCCATAGACCGGTTCTTCCTCCTTCATTTCGTAATGATCCAGATCAATGTCCTGCAAGGCAAGATTAAAGGCTCACTGAAGACGGATGGAAAAGCAGAAGGAAATCTAGGATTTCTTAAGATAGGATCACAACAAATGGGTAGTTTTAGGAGGGAGAAAAGATCAATGTATCCCTTCAGCCACCCAGTCCCTTCACCCCTGAAAAGGGCCAGAAAGAAGAAGGAAAGACGACGGCAAACACACGTACTTCACCCATATCTTCCTCTTCCTCTTCTTCCGATGTAACCTCTTCAGTCGTCCCATTCTGGAAGACAATAAAACAGTTTCCTTTGATGTCAAAAGAAAATCAGTTTTGTTGTTGTGGTTGTTGGAGCACCGATAACAAGGTAATGCACATGAAAGGAAGGTCCGTTCCCCCAAACCCCTCCAGGAATCAAATTTCGGCATATCAGGTACGTGTGCCAAGTTTGGTCCAGCTCCATTGGTGTTTGGGTTCACAGTGCTCTCTGAATGTAGGTGAACTACAACTCCCCCAAATCAAGGTGATTTTCCCCCAAAGACCCCCAGTATTATTTTTTTGCTGGTCATGAGGTCTCTGTGTGCCCAGTTTGGTCCAATTCCTTCTTGATTGCAGGTGAACTATAAATCCCAGTACTTGGAACTCCAAAATGTCCAGGCCAATTCCCCTCAAAACCCACCAGTATTCAAATTTGGGCATATCGAGTATGCGTACCAAGTTTGGTCCAGATCCATCATCAACTTACCTAGTTTCCAACAAGCCTCACAACCTCTGAGGATGCCTGCCATAGATGTGGGTGAAATGGCAGCAGAGAATGCTTCTGGAACATGGCCAGACAGCCCAGAAAACTCACAGCAACCCAGACAAGAGTCCTTTATCCCACCCTGGACATTCCACAGGTATATAAACCTCACTTGCCTAGTTTTCAACAGGCCTCACTACCTCTGAGGACGCCTGCCATAGATGTGGGTGAAATGGCAGGAGAGAATGCTTCTGGAACATGGCCAGGCAGCCTGGAAAACTCACAGCAACCCAGACAAGAGTCCTTTCTCCCACCCTGGACATTCCACAGGTATATAAACCTCACTTGCCTAGTTTCCAACAGGCCTCACAACCTCTGAGGATGCCTGCCATAAATGTGGGTGAAATGGCAGGAGAGAATGCTTCTGGAACACAGCCATACAGCCTAGAAAACTCACAGCAACCCAGACCTTCATGATAGTTAACTGAACATGCAGCAGAGGCGAATTTGGAACCCAAACATTTGTGCCCTCCCCCCCTCTCCCCCCAAGATTGAAATACTTACCTGGCCAGTCGGCAATGGCTGATCTAGCATTTCAACATCTGGATGCTGAGGAAGATTGTATAATCTGCAGAGGTCGCATATCAATCGCTTCAACTGTTGGAGAAGCTACAAAACAAGTTAAGGGCGTGTTAACTGTTTGTCCTTACATTCATTTTAAATCATGTTTATCAGCAGGAGAAGAACATCTTGTTTTTTCTGGAGCCACAGCTAACAAAAGAACCACCTCTTAAATAAACGTCCATAATGAAGTCCATAAGGAAGTCGTAATGGTTGGTGTTATGTTTTCTATACTCAGATTAACAAAGTATTTATGTATTTCCCCTACTGATTTGGGAAAAAGTAAAAAAAAGAGGGTGCACAGCCCACTGAAGAACTAAAGGTAGATAAATTGCTAAATGCAAAAGAAAAAACAAGTAAAGGAACAGTGGCAAAATTATATCATTTAACTAGCCGTCCCCTGCCACATATTCCTGTGGTCCAGTCTGTGTACGTGTTTTTACTTTTTGGCTTTTAAGTCTCTTCCAGTGTGTTTTTCAGTGTTTTATGAGTGATGATCACTTGTAGGCCTCATAGGTGTATTGTGTACAAATTTGGTGTCAATTCATCCAGTGGTTTTTGAGTTATGTTAATCCCACAAACGAACTTTACATTTTTTATTTGTATAGACTAGCTAACCCTTGCCACGCGTTGCTGTGGCCCACTCTGGTGCTCATAGGGGTTCTGTGTGGAAGGTTTGGCCCAATTCTATCTTTGGTGAGGTTCAGAATGCTCAGTGATTGTAGGTGAACTACAAATCCCAGCAATTACAACTCCCAAATGCCAAGATTCTATTTTTCCCAAACTCCACCAGTGCTCACATTTGGGCATATTGAGTATTCGTGTAGAGTTTGGTCCAGATCCATCATTGTTTGAGTCCACAGTGATCTCTGGATGTAGGTGAACTACAACTCCAAAACCAAAGGACACTGCCCACCAAACCCTTCCAGTATTTTCTATTGGTCATGGGAATTATGTGTACCAAGTTTGGTTCAATTCCATTGTTGGTGGAGTTCAGAATGCTCTTTGATTGTACGTTAACTATAAATCCCAGCAACTACAACTTCCAAATGACAAAATCTGATCCCAAAGCCACGTTTTTTTACGTTCCTTCTGAAGGATAGGAGGGAGGGGGTTGAGCTAATGTCGCTGGGGAGGGAGTTCCACAGCCGAGGGGCCACCTCTCCTCCCCCCCAACCCCACCAGTATTCAAATTTTGGTGTATTGGGTATTTGTGCCAAATTTGGTGAATGAAAACACATCCTGCATATCAGGTATTTACATTACGATTCATAACAGGAGCAAAATGACAGTTATGAAATAGCAACGAAAATAATATTATGGTTGGGGGTCACCATCACACGAGGAACTCTACTAAAGGGCCGCGGCATTAGGAAGGATGAGAACCATTGTGTTATATTTTCTGTATTCGGATTAATAAAGTGTTCCTTTGCACCTGGCACTTTGTGCTCTTCTGACTATTCTAGGACAGCATAAAGGACCACCTTCCCTGCAGGAAATTGCTCATTTGGAAGCGCATCCAAATGAGCCTTGGAAATCATGCCGGCAACAAGCCTTCTTTCTCACTTTGAAGTCTTCTCTCAACTAGATCTCCTGCCTATGACTTCTCAGCTGATATACAAAACCACTCTGATTTTTTGGACTTACATAATGTGATGCCTTGAAGTGTTGCTTCCTCGGCTGGCATGTAAATTCCAGCACTGTTTGGACATTCCCAAAACCATAGCTAGACATTTTGAGAGCGCGCCTGTCCACAAAAACCACGATTCGCGGAGAGAACTCCCGCTCGCCTAACAGCCTGCCAATGTTTCGCTGCAGGATTCCGGAGTAACCCAAACACCATTGCAATAGAGAGAATCATTAGCCATATGCTGCAAGAAAAAAGCCAGTTTGCTCACAGCGAAGACATTATTAACAGTCCCAGATCTGACGGCATCTTTGGCACCAGGAGCATGTTTTCTCTGCAGTCAGATTAGAGAGCAACGCGGGCTTGTTTTCCTCTCCTCCTGCTTCCTGAGGCTTGGCTCACTGGCTTGTGCCATCTGGAGCCACCTTCTTGGCAAGCAGATGGGCGCGCAATACCTTGCTTGCTCCAGCCCTCTGAGGTCAGGATTAAGTCTCCTTCGGCAGGCAAGAACTCTCTCCTCCAGACCCAGGGACACGACAGCTTTGCACAGGCAGAGAAGGAAGCCAGCAAACCAGAACATGGGTTTTTATTTCCAGGACACATTGAATAATATTTACTAGAAACTGAAGGAAGAACTGGGAAGAACACAACCCACCATGTCAGACTACACAGAGAAGCCATTGAAATCCACAAACGTGGACAATTTCAACAGAAAGGAAGAAACCATGAAAATGAACAAAATCTGGCTACCAGTATTAAAAAAACCTCTAAAATTACAACAGCAAAACAACAGAGAGTAAACAATCAGGCACATCAAATCACTCTCAACAAAATATTCCCCCCAGGCACTTCCAAGCCATTAAATGCTAATCAAGGTGGTCAGCTGAAACATTCACACCTAGCTGCAGCAGACAAACGTCCTTTGTCTCACCCTGGTCATTCCACAGATATATAAACCCATTTTCCTACTTCCAACAGACCTCACTACCTCTGAGGATGCTTGCCATAGATGCAGGTGAAACGTCAGGAGAAAATGCCTCTAGAACATGGCCATATAGCCAGTGATTCCGGCCATGAAAGCCTTCGACAATACATGTAGGAAGAACCTTTGCATGGGGGCGGGACAGAGGGAAACCCCACAAAAGACAACAAAAACAACAACAACATTTATTAAGGTCCACATGAAGTCGAACATGACCCCCCTATAGTAACTTATAACTATAGTAACTTATAGTTTTGCTAAGGGCACGGACACCAGACTGGATAACAACATTTATTAAGGTCCACATGAAGTCGAACATGACCCCTCTATAGTAACTTATAACTATAGTTTTGCTAAGGGCAAGGACACCAGACTGGATAATAAGGGTTAAGCCTTAGTCAAATTGGTGTGTATCATTTAATCAAGGATTTATGCCCTATTTTCATATGTTTATAGCAGAAGGTAACCATTTTATTACTGAAATTCATGCCACAAAAGTATTTGACTTTTTCCATCTGAGACACACCTGATGGTCCCCCATCTCACAAACAAGGGACTCTCTTTCCCCCTCATGGATATATTTCCCTTTATGGACCTTCTAATGATGGACACTGGGGGAGGGTAGTTGGGTTTACTTTCTGTATTATGATCTCTATATTTCCCTTCATGTATCTGACCTTGTCCTGACCCTTTTGCCCCCTTCCTATCTCCTTGAGGAAAATGTATATGGAAGTTGCCTTGCCTCTGAAAAAAAGCAATTAGCGATTGTGGAAACCCTTATCTAAGAACATTCCTTGCATGGACAAATAACAAAGAAATGTCTTCCTGACTTCGAAGGATTTGGCCATCAGGGAGACAATCGCTTGGCAGACTTTTAATCACATTACAACAGGAGAAAAGAGGATCTTCGGAAAGTTCTCCCCTCCTGACCCGTTTCCTTTCAAGCCTTTCCATTGAGGACATTCACCAAAATCTCCCCCCCATTGTGCCCCTGTCTGACCACAAGAGGAAAACCCGGATTAAGTGGTATCGCCCACATCAATGCTTATCTCAGATAAATCACGACACAATAGATTGGCTTTTCTTGAAGGCCGTTTCAGACTCGTTAAGCCCCCTGGACATTTCCTGTAACTCCATAATCCATTCAAGAATGCATTGTATTCCCTTGTCCCACCTCTCTCCCTCCTGATTTGTTGACGCGCCAAGGCGGCAGAAACCTTCCGACTGGCCCAGGCGCTCGAGGGGCAGACGAGCCTCCTCCCAGCTGTTGAGGCGCCAGCCAATCACCTTCAAGCCAGGCGTGGGAGATTCAAACCACACACTCTGTTTTTTCTATAAAAATGGCATTTATTTGTATTCATGCATGCTTGCCTGACGAAATATCGCGGCTATAACCTACAAAACCCTATACGGCTCCGGCCCAGCGTATCTGTCCGAACGCATCTCCCTCTACGTCCCACCTCGGAGTCTGAGATCTTCTGGGAGGCCCTGCTCTCGACCCCACCTCTATCACAAGTGAGATTGGTGGCGACAAGAAGCAGGGCCTTCTCGGCAGTGGCCCCTCACCTGTGGAATTCACTCCCCGGGGAAATTAGGTCATCGACATCCCTCCTCTCCTTCAGAAGGAAATTAAAAACATGGTTGTGGGACCAGGCTTTCGGGCAATCTGGCAGTTAGACAAGGACAATGATGACTAGACAATATGGAATGAATTTATGACTCTGAGATGGTGAACAATGAGTACTGACTGGTTTTATTGATTTTTATTGATTTTGTTGTATAAAGTGACTGTTTAATTGTTATAATTGCTGTATACATGTTTTATCCATTGTTTATGTTTATGTTGGCATCGAATTGTGCCTTTTGTAAGCCGCCCTGAGTCCCCCCTCGGGGGTTGAGAAGGGCGGGGTAGAAATGCGCGAAATAAATAAATAAATAAATGCATCCTTTCCAGCTGGATCGCAATAAACAACTCAGTGGCTTTTCTTCAACTTGGTGAGACCTTTTATTGGGAAAAATCAGGGAAAATATTGGGTGTTTCTTCTGTCTCGCCAGGGCAACGAACTCTTTCATGAGTCTGATTGGTCTTTGCCTCCTGGCAAAGACCTCTAAATTCCTGCATTATAACATTTGGATCCCCAGTTTGATCGCTGCGACAGTTTTTAGGTTCATTTTCAGAGTCCAGGCCCTAGCAGAAGACAGCCTTTTGCCGTTCAGCAACTCAGTGCAGCCTGAGCTGTGCATTTGTAAGGGCACAGATCAACCACATCTAAGAATCAAATGGCAACCTGTGATTACCTGGGCAACTCTGACAATGTGCCAGCAGATTGCTTCTTGACGTTCTGACCTGTGACAGACAGCGCTTGCAGGGTGCTCATTTTAGCCTGCAAACCCCCCCCCCCCACTCCCTGCATTTCTCTTAAATGCCTTTTCCATCAG